CCGAGTCTCTATATACAACGCACTCAATATCATTCAATATTTTTTGTAAATCAATTACAATTACTCTCAAATCGCTAATATTATATATAGGTGATATTTTCAGTTATTTAGAAAAAACGAGGAAAACTATGCCGTTTATAAAAATAATCACCTCTCAAATCAACATATTTGTATATACAAATTAAAAATGTTCAGCCCTTTCAACACCGAAAATGATGATGATGAATTCGACAAAGAATAATAAGTATCAGCAATTGAACATTCCAAGTTTTATTATATTTTCAGTTATAAATAACGTGAATCTCGCTGTCTCAAAAAAGGTATAAACATAGCAACACGGTGTTGCCCAACTATAGAGATCTCTTATTTGAAAAACGTAGGTAATCGTTTTCAAGTACGCCACTGTTTTCCCGTAGATCTTTTATTTATTCACGTTTGATCAAGCAACTCGAAGTATTTTATGGCTCTTGTGTTGTGTATCGAGGAAAATATATTTGCCTTTTAGATGAATAAATTCAGGAAGCCGATGTGTTGTTCCGAAAATTTAACAGATGATTGAACTCGCGAAATGAACAGGAAAGATAACTTTTCTATGCCAAGGCCTAGCTTCTAAGTAGAGCGTCTGAAATTCCAGTCGGAAATAGAGAAGCTTTATGAGGAAAGATAGAATGCTAAACAAAAATTGAAAGAAAAGTCGCTGCATTTTTATTTCATCTAACAATGATTTTGATCAGCAAACAGAAGAAAAAAGTTACTCGATACGGAACTTATTTCAATGCACAAATTGGTGACGCCATGCCTGTTATGAGAAGGAGCAGAACATTTCAAAATTGACCACAACAACACGGAAACGAAAAAGTATGTTTCATTGACAGATGACAGCATGAAGTACGAAATGTTTTATCTTCTGTGAGGACATATTCACGCAGAACTAGGGCACAGTGTTTTAAACACGGAAAATGCACCACTGCAAAGAGTAGCCACTAGTAACCTGCCAGAATGGAACGATTGTAAAACCTTAAAGTCCAAGATCTTTGCTGCCAACTCCCCCAACGCCCCGCAATTTAAGCTTCTGCGGCTACTTCGGTGTATAAAAAAATCAAAGGAAAACGCTATATAAGTTTAAGAATGGCAATTTGTATAAGCACCTGGACTAAATGAACGTCAAGGCTATATTTTCTCCGTTCCATAAGTAGCAATCTGCTCTCAAATTGCATTTTCTTTATTTGCCTAGATGAAATATCTGCGAAGCTGCTGTTTCATCATGTAGCAAGAAAACGTCGAGCAAACACATTTAACCCACTTTTATAAGATCGTGTATGTGGTAGTGTCTTTCTACGCTCCATTACTCTATATTCAGGCGACACGACGTTGTACGTATAGTGGGTAGTACTCGCATTATTACATCTGCTTGCTGTAATCTAGTATAATTTTCTTATTCCTTTAAACTGGTTCAACTTACTGTTACAGACTGAAACGCAACAATTCAACTTATTGGAAATACGAATAATAGACGATTGAATCTATATTTTGGCCCTATCTACTTACGTTTTCAGCTTTTTGGATAGTCTATACAGGGTAGTCAAGATGCAAAAATTCACTACAGTGGAATCCACTTATAATGAACTTGCTTATAATGGAAACCCGTATATAATGGACACAATTTAAGGTCCTATAAATAATTGCATGTAAAATCCTCGGATATTATAGACTCGCTTCAAATTGATCCTCGCTTATATCGGATTATTTTAATCCATTATATGCGAGCTATTTTGGCAGATTTAGCTGACGCAATCGTTTGTTTGTTTGTTAATCCGATTTTTAAGCTGCCTAAGGTTAGTAAAATTGGGAAAAGCCTCCTCAGAAAGACTGTTCCACAATCTCGACACCCTCGGGACAGAGGAGCGGTCGTATCGACCAGAGCAAAGCCCGTTGGCGTACTAATAGAAGAGACCTAGATCGTCGGTGTGAAAGGGTCCCGAGACTGATTGCACTGATCAACAGCCAAAAAATATCCTAAATAAAATCAACAAAATATTACTATTTTTAATGTGCTAAAACCGGAATGAAACTTATTTTTTCAATATTAGTTCAAGTTTTAGAGATACGGTAATTATATGTGTTCCTGCTGTGACAGTGTTAATATACTGTAATTCACAAGAATGCACGTGCTACATTTTTATATTCGGCAAGGAAAGATGATGTAATCGGCATGATTGTGTTACGTTATACATACGTGTACATTATATTGTTTTATATTAGCCATTTTTCCTCAGTTGGCTGACAGCGTTCATGCAAGATGTCTCGAAAGTGTGTAAACAATCCAGATCAGTTTTGTTACGTGTGTGGTGATGTGACTTTTGCGTCTCAGAGACGGTCTATTACTCCACTAATAACAAAGGCATATCAGCTTTATTTCGGTTGTAAACTAGGTGATCAAGACAAACAGTGGGCGCCCTACATCTGCTGTAATACATGTGCTTCAAGTCTGAGGAGCTGGTTAAATGGCAAACAACGGTCTATGCGCTTTGCTGTCCCAATGGTTTGGAGAGAACCTATAAATCATATTAATGATTGTTAATTTTGCATAGTACCTTGTGTTGGACAAGCCACAGGTATGTCCAAGAAAAAAAAATCGGTTATTAACTACCCAAACATACCATCTGCGATGAGACCTGTGCCTCACAGTGACGAAAATCCTATTCCAAAACCCCCAGAATCCTACACTTGCGAATCAGAAAACGAATCATATCATGACGATCGAGTGATTCGTCAGGAAGAAGATATGCCATCAACGTCAAGAGATCCTGATTTTATACCGAGCACGTCATGCCACCAACCGCACAAAATAACACAGTCAGAATTAAATGATCTTGTAAGAGATTTAGAACTTCCAAAATGTAAGGCAGAGTTACTTGGATCAAGACTGCAGCAGTGGAACTTGTTAGAAGACGATGTTTCGGTATGTGTTTTTCGTAAACGCCACAGGCAGTGTTATCGCATATTGGAAATATTTTACCATCTCTTCCTGTAGGGATGCATTTGACATGAAAGAATCATATGACAATATGAAGGCATTTCATTACACCAGACAAAACTGGCCTCTTCGTCAATTCCTAGAGCCAGGTCAAAAAAATGTACAGCATATGCCATTAGTAGATTCGAAAAAAATTTTATTACCACCACTGCATATCAAGTTGGGCCTAATGAAAAACTTTGTCAATGCATTAGATAGAGATGGGTCAGCTTTTCAATACCTGCGTCAGAAATTTCCAAGACTAAGTGAGGCAAAGGTTAAAGAAGGTATTTTTGTTGGGCCACAGATTCGAAATATTTTGAAAGATACACAGTTTGAAAACACTTTAACAGGTATTGAAAAAACTGCTTGGAATGATTTCCGTCTGGTGGTCACTAATTTCTTGGGAAATAGAAAAGCTGACAACTATAAAACCCTTGTCAAAAATATGCTGTCATCGTATCAAAAGATGGGCTGTAATATGTCTCTTAAAATACATTTCCTACACTCACACCTGGACTTTTTTCCTGACAATTGCGGAGCCGTGAGTGATGAGCACGGCGAACGTTTTCATCAGGATATTTCAACATTGGAAAAAAGGTACCAGGGAAAGAACAGCAAAAAGACAGCGCATATAGTGATTCTTATAAGTATATGAATCTTGTTACTTTTTTAATATACCCTTAAAAATAAAAAGTTTTTTTTCTAAACCGCAAAGAATTTTTTTATTTCATTGTCATTTTTGGATTCAGCGCCCCAAAATTAACAAAGAAGTGCACTTTTCCCACAAGATACAATTAAAAAACTAAAATTTGTTGTCCAGTGTAATCCGCCTTATCAGTTAGTCGCATCGGAAACAAAAAAGCGAAAGAATTTGAAACGCTTATTACAATGTTTTTACTACAATTTTATTCAGTTGTATTCAGTCAATGTGTCAGTCGGTAACGCGTGAGTGAATAGTGGTGTTTGTTGCGTGCCTCAAACGAAATAAAAAATGGCACATGGTTACGAAAATGCTGAACTTGTGAACATGATTCTTATTTACGGGGGGGAAGTCTTTACAAAATGCTGCCGCGGCATCATGGATTTATGCGGATCGGTTTCCCAATCGAGTGCAACCAACCCCTCGTGCCTTTGTTAATGTAGTACAAAGGGCTCGTGAATCAGGTGACTTAAGACCTCACAGGGGAGGGCATGCCGGTGCTCCAAGACCGCACGATCAAATACAGGTCCGCACTGAAATACTTGTCGGGAGGATACTTTATAAAACAAGGTAACTTTTTTTTTATTTTTACACACATAGTTTGGTTTATCTTCCTTCTACAATCATTATCTGAAAATTAATGACTCAACTTCAAGTCACCCTGTATATGTGGAAATATTACCTTCTACAGCATCGCGGCTTAACCAGTGCGTCAAATGTGCGGAATATTATTTTTTACTATTATTAACCAATAAAATTATACTTTACGAGGTCCGGTTCCAGTTGGTAGTATTATTGAATTTTTACGAGGTCTCCGCCATGCCATATTTATGGGGCTTAACAATAGTTTGCGAAGGTTTTACGATAAACGTTTTTCCCGATAGCTAATCGATAACATATTTTCACACGTTACACACGGAAATTTGCATGAAAACCGCTGGATATAAAATAAACTTGGATAAATTTATTACTTGTTGACGGAAAGTTGACTTGAAGGAGTTCACTTCTCTTCAAAGAACGATAAGGTATCACTCACATAATACAGATTTTTGCTAAAAATTGGTATCTTATCCTTTTCCTATTCGTGATTAAAAGCATGGGCATAAAGATCCACGGGTCATCTTCTTAGCTTAGTTACTACCCCAATAAGTGCATGGTTTAAAATTTGACAACAAAGTTTAATATAAATTTTAAATTTTGGTAAATGCTCACGACCGCTCAATATGGCTTCGGTATACATAGGAGAGAAAAAAGTATCAGTAGGCATACCCTTTATTTGTCCTTACAAACGACATAAAAATTTTATGAGCATTTTTTTTTAATTTTATGCACCGTCCGCAGGTACCTCTAGCATCTCCTTACTATCACATCTATCACGTAAGATTTCTTCATCTGAAAATGAAGAAAAATAAGATTTATTACCACTGAAACACTTTTCTTGTATATCTCCATAACGCTTAGAAGCGCTGTGTTTTACGTAGGAGAGCGGCATTTTTTATGCACTTTTTTTTTTATACTCCAACTACCACGAAGGCCTAAGGCCTAAGCACCGATTGGGTACCGTGGGGCTATGGGGGATACATGGGAAAGGGGGGACGCCACACGGACTCTGGCGAGGGAACACGTGTGCATGCAACATGCACACATTCTGGCTCCGCCTACGAGAACCGCCGGGTGGTACCTCCGCGTTCGACAGTCAGAGACCATCTACCACCTACGGACAATCACAACATCCATGGCCAAGAGAAACATTTCTCCTGGGACGGGACTCGAACCCGCACAGCGCACGGCGGCTGATCAGGAGACCGAAGAGTCTACTACTGCGGCCACCGCTGCTGCCTAAAACAAACACACAACATCCATGGCGAAGGCGAGATTCGAACTCGCGGCCCGGCCGGCCGGCTGATCAGTAGCACGACACTCTGACCCACGCGGCCAACCGAGGCCCCCAGGCACTAACAAATAACAGATCACAAAACAAAAGATGAAATTATATTTCGCTAAAATATTCGAAAAGTGTCTTAAAGAGAGATTATCGAGCTTTTTATCTAGCAATAATGTTTTGTCAGAAAATCAATTTGGTTTTCGCAATGGCATCAGTACCTCAGATGCGATACTTAAGCTTACAAGAACGATTTCAAAAAATCTTGATCAAGGAAAGAAATGCATTGCGGCCTTCCTAGACCTTGCAAAGGCATTTGACACAGTGCCTCATGGCTCCCGTCTAGATGTCCTCGATATTTATGGGATCAGAGGTGTTGTGTCGGGAGGTTTTTGCGAGTTACTTGACAGGTAGAATACAGATGACTAAAATCGGAAATGTGATCAGTGACTCGTGAGAAATAGAAATGGGCATACCACAGGGCACCGTTATTGGGCCATTACTATTTATATTATATATTAACAGATATTATTCTAGAAAATGCTATGGTGGTTTCATACGCTGATGACACCATGGGAAGAGGTATATGAAAAAACATCTCTTGGATTAGAAAAAATAAAATGTTGACTTGATTCATCTAAACTTAGTTTAAATGTGGATAAAACTAATTACGTAGACTTTTCCTTAACATCTGCAAATCGACCAAATCTAACAGCATACAAGTAAACGGTTTTGAAAATGAAATAAAACAGGTACCATACACCAAATACCTTGGTGTAATAATAGATCAAAATCTTAAATGGAAGCAACATGTGCTTAGATTAACTAACAATTTACGAAAACTAATTAGAAAATTTTACATGGTCAGAGAAATTTGAAACAATCACTTATTAATCTGTGTCTATAAGCCCTAGTGGAGTCATTACTCAGATACGGGATAATTGTCTTGGGAAGTTTATATGAGACAGCATTAAAACCCTTAAAAACTATCCAGAATTACATACTAAAAATAAGTTTTAGAAAAAATACTGCTCCTTTATGTATAAAAATCCTTTAATAAGAGAATATGTTAGTCATCCTTATTCAACCAGATAGAAATCTAATAATACCCAATAGTTTTACAAACATAAACTTAAGATCAATTGACTATATTGGTCCGAAAATCTACAACATTTTGCCTGGGACACTGAGGATGATAAATAAATTAATATTGTTTACTTCAGAGTGTAGATCATTTGATGTAGCAAACCTTGATAGGCTAGCTCCTTGCTAGCTAAATACGCAAATGTTTTGATCATTTTTTATGTTTTTTTTTTAGGAATTTAAATTCTGAGTTGGTTAATTTTTGTTGTTGTTTAAGTGGTTACAAAGTAATTGGCATGAAATTATAATGATATAGATTGTCAAGTAATTATTTGACCTTGATTTATTTAGTTTTATTTATTTTATTATTAAAATGTTACACTACACATTATTTAAGATTGGTGCATACGGATATTAAGTTATCTAGGTACCACCTAAGAAAAAATATACATGTTTTATTTTAGTGTAATATATAAAACCACTATATACAGGGTGTCCGCAAAGTTGGGGTTTCCTTTTCAGAAACAACTACCCTGGAAATAACAAAGGTAATGTGTAGTGAAACGAGGGCGACCAAGTAAAAAAAAATAAAGGAAAAAGTACTCACTCTCCAGTTGACGAGAAGGGCTAAGTACGTCTCTGCCCGAAATCATACCGCTCCAACAGAAAATGAAATCAGCTGATGCGCTACCGAGCAGACGCAGAAACCACATTGATTGTCTTACACTTAATGGCACATCTTCTAACAAGGAAGGCAAAATGTTGCGTAAAAAGTCTAGGTATTGCATCCCGTCCAATCGATTTGGGAGAATAAATGGTCCAATGAGCATACCGTTCACCATGCCAGCCCAAACATTCACCGAAAATGTTTGTTGAAAATGTGCCCGACGGACAGCGTGCGGATTTTCTACTGACCAAACATGAGTGTTGCGAAAGTTATTCACCCCATTACGCGTGAACGTAGATTCGTCTGTCACCAATATGCACTTCAAAAAGTCCGGATTATTGTCATGTTGATGCAACAACCACTCACAAAACCGCACTCTTGCTGGAAAATCGTCAGGTTGAAGGGCTTGTACACGTTGGACGTGAAACGGATGCAGCCCCTCTTCACGCAGCGTTTGCCACACTGTAGTTTTTGACACTTCTCTAGCCACGTCTCTAGTGCTTGTTGAGGGATTCTCGTCTACGCGATTACCTCTACACGCGTGACCGTAACCGTCGGTTGAAGGTTGCATACTGACCTGACACACTGACCCCGACCCAGTTCTGTCGTCGGGTTGAGCCAGTGACCTTGTACCAATCGGTGATGTCGCGGGTCGCGGCTACAGGACGGTATTCAGATATTTTTGATGTTGCAGAGCCCTTTATCTCGGTTCCCTTAAGACATTGGTGTATATGGCACTAAGAAAAATTGCTTATGTTTTCAAGATCTACCCCTCGTAAAGGAAAACCCCAACTTATAATATAGTATTTAATAATAATCCGGCTTTATTTATACAACGTATACAAAGTATAAAAAGGCGAAGCGTCGCTAAAAAGCGTTTTTCAACTTAACCCAACAACAGTATCAACAGTAAATCACAGCAAATCCTTTCGAGGTCCAAACCATGAACATGCACAAAATGAGCAACACATCCATTAAAAAAATTGTTAATGCGTGTGTACCAGGCCCTCTTGTAATTACCAATTAATATTTCAACGCAACATTTGCAAAACGGATCGCTCCCAAACTGCAACACCGCACAATATTTCGCGCCGCTGATTTGAAATTAAAACGTCAACGTAAGCCTTCGTCTATCTAGCTTTAATTAATTCTGTCTGCATCAACGACGGCTATGTAAAACGAGGTCTCGTTTCGTTTAGCCACGTTTCCAACATCCACCAGCTACTCTTATTTGGTAAATGTCGATGCGTAATTAGCTATGTGTAATTGGGGTGGGTGTTTACTGCGCAGTCTGAATGAGCTTAGAATCAGTAGATAATATTCCAACACTACAACTCCAAACATTGCATAAACATACTTCAAAAGGACCAGCAGAAAACCTATTCGATATCATGGTCCATTGGACAAAAAAGAGAGAGAATTTTTTCTTTGCAACTCCAGCTTTATTACCATCTGTCTGGAAAAGAGGACAGACATAGTAGGGGATTTTTGGGGAGTGTTTTTCACGTCAAAGAATTTGTTTTTATCATAAGTATAATTTTTGTGTATAATTTAAACATAATTACAAGAACATTTAATTTGTATACGTGCATAGAATGAATTCATAAGGTCTGTCGGAAAGTAAACAGGACTTTTGAAAGATAGCGTTAGATAGGTTCATCTTTTGTTGATGCCCTGTTAAAATTTCCGCACAGGCTCACGGATGACCAAAAATTGGTTCGAACTCCACATGCGAGAGACATCATTAAAGAGGCCAAAAAAGACAAAAAATTTCTGTACAAGACAATGTCAAATCGCTCCATTTGGCCAACAGTTAATGCCGTTAATGGCATTTTAACCATCAACCACTCCTCATATTCTCCTGATATGGCACCGTGTGACTATTTCCGAAGGGTACATCCCGGTGACCTTAAATATTAATCTGAATATTTTCGAAGACAGAGTTACTAATCGATTCCATTTTCCGTAAAGATTCCATAACTTGTGTAATTAACGAATCAGCTCACGTATTACGTACGATGTGACGTCACTATGAACACCTATGTAACGATCTACGCCAGAGATACACGTTTAAAAATAAACCGCTACAACTAGTGATAACGTTGTGAAACTATAAATACCCAATAAAACTGAAACCGGAACATAATCGGCACAACATAAAATGGGACAAATGCTAGTGCAAACATTTTAAATAAACATTTGAAGGATAAGGGTACTTTCATTGTTGGCAGAGATACATAAATTGTTATGTAAATATGTAACATCGTAAATAACTCGGTATACAGCTGCGGGTTTCTTTAAGAAACGTACGAGTATGGAATACAACAAACCAGCATATATGTGCCTGATAGATTTGAAGAAAGCATTTGATAGAGTGAGAATTCGGGGTCGATACATTTATTTTATGATAGGGGAATACCACTGGATTTAGTAAAAACTATTGAGAATATATTCATTGTGGCGCATCGAAAACAAAACAGACGCATTTACTGGCAGCTCAGTTTTTTTTTTGGAAAACGCTCAGACACGTCGATTTTGTTTTCGAGGGGGACACAAGTTTGGCAAAAAATCACGTTAGCACGTGCAGCCCCCTAAGCGGGGGTGACACCACCTCCAAAATCTTAAATGGAAAGGGGGGTCGAGTGATACCTTATTTTAAAGGTCTATCAGTTCCCTTTATAATCATATAAAATTAATGTACTTCAGTTCAGTAGTTTTGAAGATTTATTGATTTAAAGCTTAAATAAAACTAATACATCATCATTAGTGGAGATCAATACATTTGGCAGCAAAGTAATTTAAAAATGAAGAATGAACTTACCCGTTAGGCATGTAAATGTTGAAAATGGCCACCATGACTCTCCATGCAATAATAAAGATTTTGCTCAAAACGTTGCCATATATTTTGCAATATTTGGGGAGTAATTTGAAGGCACTCATTCACAATTCTTTGTCGCAGGCCTTCTAATGATGTTGGCTGAGTAGCGTAGATTTTGCTTTTTAAATGACCCCACATAAAGAAATCCAAAGGTGATAAATCTGGCGATCTTGGGGGCCATTCAATGGCACCTCTTCTACCAATCCATCGATCTGGAAACGTCTGATTCAAATATTGTCGAACACGTAATGCGTAATGTGGTGGGGCACCATCCCGTTGGAACATCAACCTATTCGCAATATCATTCTGATTTCCAATTATGGCTGTTGATACAAGATCTATGGCGTCTTACAGTAATTCCAAATACATTTCACCGGTCAAATTTCCAGGTAAGAAACAAGTACCAACTAAATGATCGCCAAAAATACCAGCCCAAACATTTAATTTTTGTGGCTGCTGTGTATGAACCTCATGATAAATTCTGGGATTAGAATCGGACCAATATCGGCAGTTATGATGATTTACTACGCCATTTAAGAAAAAGGAACATTCGTCGGAAAAGCAAGTGTTGAATAGAAAATATGCATCGTTTATAATTCGTTCACTCATATCTTTACAAAATTGTAATCGCCGATCAAAATCGTCTTCATTAAGTTCTTGTACCAGGTGAATTTTATACGGATGAAAACTATGGGCGTTTAGAATCCGTTGGACAGTACGTCAACTAACACCACACAATTTGCGGGTACTTAACGTAGGATCTACATAAACTAGCCCTAAAACCCCCACTTCTATTGCTTCGTTCCTTATGGGATTTTCAATGTTGCGTTTTTTATTGAAAGATCATTGCAAGAGCCGCGCAAAAAGCTCTCTTACTAGAAGGCGCAGCGCTTTGGATAAGTCTGAGGAACAATGCTTTACGGAGTTTATATACCAAGCTGACCGCGGTAACCAAATTGCGTTCTAAATTTAACCAGTCTCGAGGATACTAGTAACATATGTTCTGGCAGGTCAAAAACGACGTTTAATGGAAAAATGTAGGACACGTATAAACAGTAATAAATTAATAAATAAATAACATTAATAAATTTAATATAAATTATCTTTAAGCATAAATCCTGCCCTTTTTTGTTTCCAGTGCCATTTTTTTTATATTTGGGCATACTGACCCCCCTCATCTTAACAGCAAATAAAAGAAAATAACAGCAACGTACGATAACTATAATACCGTTTTAAAAATATCACAAGTGTTCATCAAAATTTAGGCTTTGGTATAATTTATGTGGGTTTCTTGCCATCTAAAGAAAAAATAATACTGGATGGGATGTAATGTGTTCTAAAGTAAACCTGGCACAGAGAGGTTATAACTTGTAGAAATGACACTGAATTTTTAGCAAAAAATGAAATGCTGAAAATCTCGAAAACTGTGAGTATTGATAAAACGAAATTTTGCCATGCTCACGATGCAATATTATGCTTTCTAGATACCCCCGTATAGAACAATATATCGGGCTTAAATGAACATATCTATTCAAAGCTCGATTCCGCATTTTGAACACTGCCATTACTTTGAAAACAGCAAATTTCAAATGAAGTCGCGGGGGTATAAGGGTCAGTCTACTTGACGACAATTTTTAGTTTTGTCTCACCGCCTTGAACATTTTGTTTCGCGTGTGATTTGAGTTTACCTTTTGTACTAGTCGACAGTCTGTATAAAATTTATAGTATTTTCGGAAAGTGGATGACAACAACGGCAGTTATCACCCAATTCACGTGTGTGCAAGAGCGAGTAGCAGCTGTGTTAGGGATCGACTTGCGACAGTTAGTCCATATGTTTACTTATTTCGTAAGATACTGTGCCATATCTAAAACCGTGAAAAAAATAAGTTAAGGTAGTATCGTTTATTAGTTGAGGACCTGGGGTGCATTCAGTCACATTGGACCACAACCTTGAAGCTTTAATCAATCAAGCTAACAATTTTTTGAGCGTAACTAGCTCATTTTTTAATTAAGTTTGGCTAACTTTATCACCATATTATGCAAGCCTGACATTTTAACGACCTACTCATTTTTTACGTAATTCATGTGCAACATTTTTCACATGTGTGACGCGTGACAAGAATCATAATTCAGCGTCAAGAATGCTGGGCGCGAGGCAATCTGTACAAAAGACAATGGAACAGGTGGACACGTTATTTTGGGCGCGCAGAATAATAATTCAAAATGGAAATTAAGCCTCAACACACATCCATAACCGTACGCCCTAGCTGCTGTTTCAATTTTTAATTTTAATAGTTCAACGACACTTTGCTGGTAAAACGGCAAGCACGCTACTAGACGACACAGTTTCGGAGAATGTTGCATGCATTTTTCATTTTGATATTCCGACTATAATCGATTTCGAGGAATGCACTGTGCGCTAGATAGTTAATTGTACCGCTTTTATCTCGGTCTCAGTCCGTATTTTTCGTTTCTACCCAACTCAGTTCTTTAGGTTTTTTTTATACCGAAGCAGCCTCGCAGGCAGAAGCCTAAATGCCGGGACACCGCGTTGGCGTTGTGGAGTGAAGAGGAGAACCCATCAATTACGACGGATATCTTGCGGCCAGAGAGAAAGTCAGCCACCCATCTGCAAAGCTTTTCTGAAAGGCGGCCATACAATGGAATTTTGCATAAGAGGGCAGCGTGCCACAGCTGATCGAACGCTTTCGTGATATCAAGAGCAACGACATGAGCCTCACCATAAGACTGGATGAGTTTACTCCACAACTGCTAGGAGGGCCGCTGTGTGTTGGTGTCGGAAACCATACGGCCTGTTGATAATAATAACTCTGAAGGTTTAATTCCATGCTATTCAATGACAACACGATGACTTGTGTGGTTGTCAGCGGCCATTTTGTGAGGGTGCGACAGGGTTGTCAGATTGTGCATTAATATCCCGTTTCACCCTCCTGGTCCCAGTGGAGTAAGTTCCGCCAACTGTTGAAATATACTCTACTATACTTTATAAGACTATTCGTGACATGTTTTCCCAAAATCATTGCACAACACTTTCAAAAATGCAAATCAAAATTTAAAATTATTCCAATGACGCTGCAAAATAGCTCCGTCGGTACCTTGGGTTATACATCTTGACAGTAGGGATGTTCGATACGATCCTATATTTAGAAGTATCAATACATTTCACGAGTATCGTCATCTTTCGATCCGGACTGTGTCAGAAAGAGTGACTGCCATTTGGCTGCGACATTACCCTGCCAAATCAGACCTATCTTTCATCATTTTCAAAGAAATTGTACAAAATCTTCAAATTTGTGAAGTTAGCGAGTTTCACTTCATACGTTGTTACCAGACATGCCCAAATCATCAGTTGCTGCCATGATATTCATCCCGACCACTGCATCCCCACGGCTAGGCGACCTGGATGTTAAATTTGTATTGATAGGGCAGCGGGTTATGCTATAAATCATATGTCACAGTGTTTGTACACTGATTGCAATGGTTAGATGATACCAAAAATATTTTCATAAATAGGAGATCTTTCCCATTCCGGATCGAACAATCTACCAAAGATGCTTATAATCATGATACCTAATTCAAAACCAGCAAATGTAAAAGATTCATTTCGCACCCTCCACCACGGGACGTGATCGCCGTTAGACTTGGCAACCCTGCGAGTGATAGATAGATATCCCCACCTGTCAAAAAGACAAACATTACTAGTTTTTATGATTTTTGGGCTTAAAAGACATTATTTGTGAAACATTTTTCATAATTTTTTGTCTATGTCCATAGTAATTGCTTATGCATCAGGGAGATGTAGGGATTGACACATCTTACACATATTATCTGTGTTTTAGGATGGAGAGGACATAATGTTTTTATTGCTTTGAAGAAATTCATTAACCCATAAATTAATAAATGATTACTATTATGACGTAAAGGAAGATGAGGAATTGGATGGAATGTATTTTATATTCTATTTTCTTGCAAAATACAGACAAATCCACACTATTCAACAGGTATGTAATGATAACTTCCCATTCCCATTCGCTGAGGGGGATAACGGATTGTTAATGTAAACCTATAACATATATCAAAATACATGAAAGTTGTCCTGTTTTTTCTGTACAAAAGCATCATGTTGGAATCAAAAAGTGGTCTTGTTTATAATACAGTCGAATTTTCACGATTTTATTCAATATTTCAACAGAAATCACTAATATTCAGAGACCTTTGACAGCTTCTGTCAAATTGCATTTCGATAAGGTAAAAAAATGGCAGGAACGTTGGGAAAAGTGTATCCTTCTGAAAGGGGATTATGTTGAAAAATAAAAACATTTTTTTGGAAAAAATGGTGTCTTCATTTCTAACACGGGTGCTTATTGAACCCTCGTGTTTCATCAGTCTGTCTGATAAATTGTAATAGATTATTGTTGTAGAATAGAAGGCTAAAAACAAAAATAAACTCGTTTCAGTATCACATCAAACTTGTTTTAAATATGTACTAGCTCATTCAGCTCATTTATTTTACACTAAAAAAATGGCGTCAAGTAGGTTGACTCTGCACTTCCCACGCAACGCTGAAATCAATTCTTAAAGGCTTAAAATGGCTCCTGTTGAAAAGTTCAGACAAAGGGGGTTGAGTAAGTGAAAGTTAGTATTGTGATATATCCAAAATTTTAATGTACCGTATGTCCTAAAAGTTTTAGCATAAAATTCGTTGCCTTTAATTTTAACAAACAAAATGATATCAATTGAACAATGAAGGCTTGCACGGCTAATTCTAATATAATATAGGTTTTTCGGGCTGTTGAGCCGTGGTCGGGTTGATATCAAGTTGCCTTTGGAAACAAAAGTTGACTCAGTTGACAGTTATTTATTCTGAAGTTTTCGCTTCAAGATGTCATATAAATTAGAAATAAGAAAAATTATCCTCAACTAGGTTTTGCGGGTAGCCAAATCTGAAATCTGCCGAATATTTTAGAATGAAACATGTCACGCAGAGCCATTTATCGAACAATAGCGGAATGCGAGCAGAGAATACCATGTCTGAATCTTCCAAAAAAATGGAAGAATACTGCACAGGTCAGAGAGATAGGTAAGAAGAGCAATAAATCAGTTTGGAATGTTGGATTTTATATGGACAACCTAGAGGAATGCCCTAACAATGTTAGATACAAACATAAAGCGAAATCTGCAGATAAAATCCTTGTCTGGTGCAAACAAGAGTACATTCCAATCTGCTGTGGGAAGAGTAAGGGGTGAAGCTGTGAATAGTCAGAGCTATATTGATAAATGCCTTTCCAAATTGCTTCAGTTTGTCCACGAATATCATGCTAACGACCATATCTTGTTTTGTTGTTCCATCATCATGGAAGCCCAAGATGAAGAACAATTAAGACGGCGAAAATACGAAAAAGTTGATCTGAATTCCGCCCAGGACCTCATGAGAGACATTTGAAGAAAGTTGCGTCTGGTAGAGAAGAATATGCCGCTCCACATGATTCGATGGTATAGTTTAGTAAAGTATTGAGTTGTGATTTATGATAACTAGTTAGTGTTTAAATAAATTTCTTCATTAAAAAAAATCCGATAAATATTTTGTGACAAAACTTTTAGGACATATGTTACTATTATCGAAAAATTAATTAACCACAGAATCTATGCAATGTTAGAAACCACAGACGCATAGAGTAAAATCTAGATTTTAAGAAAGCGAAAGTATTTTGAAGACGATCTCTCATTAAGGAAAAACGACCAACTCACCTAGTAAAGTACTACCCTGCTTCTTAGACATCTAAACGAATACCACAAATTCAATCACAAACTAAACTGACCGAAAATTCCAAAGACCAGGAAATGTCGGGAAAATTATCGCGTGCTTTCGCCGGGAAAACCACAAAGTACTCCTTACGTCGAAAACTCCACGGCGACTAAATTATATTTTTGGCAAGTCGTGAACTATTAAAAATAACTCTTCTCAATCATAAGGACTATAGTGTTTTAATGACGTCGCCGCTCCGTGCCGCATATTTTATTCAAAAGACATATATTTATTCGTAATAGTCGGCGGTGTTGTTCTAAACTAGTGCAGTCCAACGGGTCCGGTTTTCTTTTTTGAAGTATTTTTATTCTAGTGGTCTCCGATTTCAGTAGTAAATACTACAGGATTAGTCAAAATTCAAAAAAAAGATGTGCCACTATGGGTTGATTAAGAAAATAGATTTTTCAGAACTTTTTTCACATCACGACAAAATTTAAATACTTGATATGCTCGTACATTATTTCAACTTTAAGAAGTTTATACATAGAAGAAACTAGTTCTACGAAACTTGAACGGCAATGAATGGATCCACTATTTCCTCTTCATTTGAGTATTTCATGTTGTATATAGAGAAAAATGTTATTAATTTTTTTGTCAAAAATGCATTTTTTGTGAATTTTCTATTCAATAGTATTGTGTAATAATAGTACAGCTCTGGAATTAACTGTATTTTAAAATTCCATTTTTATATTAGAACTGAGTGGGAGATTAAATTGTTTTTATATCAATTTTTCTCTTCGAAAAATCTTCGTTTATTGAAACCTCATTTTGTATCAAATTGAGTTTTCCAAGTAATCATTTTGTGAAGAGAAAAACTGATAAGAAAAGTAATGCCCTAAAAGTGGAATATTCACCTTCAATTTTAGAGTAGTACCACTATTTGTTAACAAGTTATGATTGAAGAAAAAATGCTCAAAAACACATTTTTGACAAAAAGGAAACTGATAATTGTTTTTCAGTCAGCTACTCGTATATACTCACTATGACACAATTAGACGAAAATTATTAAGAATACTCCTCCACGTAGGGTGTTGAAAAAAAGGGGCATGCGTCGTTAAATAATACGAGGATTACATTAAAAAATGAATCTATGGTTTTTGATTATTGCATTACTATTGCGGTCAACTTTTCAATACGACCACTGCAACGAATACTATAGTATCTCAAAAATCCTTGCTATAGACTTACTATATGGTATCGATAGACTTATCGGGTTCTCTTTGGTGGAAGAATATGGTATATCAGTCATGCAACTATAGGCAACCAGTAAATCTTCTACGTCATATAGTAGGTATAATAGTGGCGGTTGCTCCCGCGAAAACTACATCGAATTGAGTTGCAAAAAATCACGGAAAGTCTAACTTACTGTTAGACCTTCTGTCTGACTTACTATGTTTTTCGCCTCAAAGTTTGAGGTTACGGTAATTAATAGTGAAAACGTTTCAAGTATTAGCTGTATGAGAAGAGCAGTCTTCAAAGCGAACTAAAATGAATTCAAGAAACAGATGCAAAGAAGCTAAGTGCAGTTGCTCAGCCGTTAAATTCAGGCAAGTTTGGTTCATGAATAGTGATGAATTCTTTTAACACAACAAAAAGGTTCAAACATAGCATCCTCTTCTGCACGTTATGCATTGGGATCTGTCGCATCACAGTCTGTTTCTCTGATGCCTGTGAAATAAAAAAGTTTAACAGAGAATTCAACTACTACGTTCCTCGGTTTTGCTAAGACGACACTCACGTGTTTGCTTTTCATTCTTTCATCTCCAAGTCTGGACCTGATACAGACCTATCTCGTACTGACGAGGGCTAAAGAGCCCTGTCTGCGGTTGGTCGTGGATCCATTAGTTTTAAATAAAAAGTAAAATCGGAAAATTGGAACAAAGACGATTGTGGAGAAAAGTTGAAAATAACTAAGTGCTTCGTGTGACTATGCGATCTCGCGATAGTAAAATTGATTCTCACAGAATGAGACCGCAAAACAATGTACGCTTCTTTGCTGCACACAATCTTGCATCCAGTAGATACTAGAAAATTAAAAAAAAATGAAAAGAAAAACAGTCTTCCTAGCATTCCTGAGGCTTTCCTGATTTTCATTTTTCTCAGAAAGTCAAGGAAGATAAAAAAAAAACAAAGAGGACATAATATTAATAGAGCTGAAAATACAGAAGTTGAGAACGATGATAGTGGAGAACACGACGAAGAATATAATTTGAGTGACTCAGATTGTCATTAAAGAGGTTTTTTCGACCATTTGTTTGAAAAATACTGTATAATATTTCAATAAATATAATAATAAGTGTACTTTTTTCTTTAATTGATCCTACGAAAACTATAGAAAGTCAACAAAATTTATTAAAAAAAAATGTCATTTTCGCTAGGTTTGTATTGTAATACCATTTATAACCTTCTATACAGGGTGTTTCAGTTTATTGTTGCATAACTTCAAGATTCGATAGAACTTTTAAAATTAATTCATAAAGTTTATATAAACATGGGTCGAAAAATGCGTGGCTTTCGAAATACAGGGTGTTTAAATTTACTTTCTAAAATAGTTTTTTTTAATATTTCGAACAATATTTGATGTATAACAGTGAAAATTGGTATACAAGGTTTTTTGGTACGACAAAACGAACCATGGGCATAGTTTTATTGTAGCCGCTAGAGGGCACTCTCTACTGTACCTGTAGTGTATTAAAATGACCGAAACATTTTTTTTAGAGCATTTTTTTGCTTTTTGAATAGAATGTTTCGAACTTTTCAACATAAAAAAGCTCTCCTGCAAGTTTTCATTATAGTTAGCCGTTTTTGAGATATTTCGATTTTTAAGGTTCGATGCATTTTTTATTATTTATGGGAAAATAATATTTTTTTTACATTTTCGATTTGGGCATTACAAGTAATTAAGATGATCGTTTAGATTGTGTTTTTAAACACAGCAATAATTCCTAACTCCAAATAAACACAAAAAACAGAATATTAATTTGTTTAATTTTCCAATATTATTTTAACAAATTAAATTAATTATTTACAACTAAAATGCTATTGGATAGTTAGGACAAACATACAAAATCTAAAGTAGTTGCTCGAAAAGTAAACCCAATTGTTCAATACACAATTCACATCTACGAATGATGGTATAGCATTATTCAAATAAGGCCTTATTTCATCACATGCATTCCTGATTCTGTCTATTAGCATATCTCTTGTGGTTACGATAGTCTGGTATACTTTTTCTTTTAGAATTCCCCACACAAAGAAATTTAATGGATTTAGGTCAGGGGATCGTGGAGGCCAGGCGTCTGGTCCTCCACGGCCGATCCATCCTTCTAGATAATTTTCGTCCAGCCAGTTTCTAACTATTCTCGAATAATGAGCCATCAAGGTGGAACCAGGCCAATCTTCTTAAATCTAACATAACATCATCCCACATATTTGCATGTTCAAAATTCCAAGAAGGTCGCAGCATTTAACCTTGCAGGCAAAAGGTAGGGTCCAAATAGTCGATTACGGTAGATACCAATCCACACGTTCACACTAAATTCATGCTGAAAATTTCTTTCCCGAACTGCATGCGGATTTTCATGCGACCAAATATGTTGATTATGAAAATTTACCACTCCACGTCTAGTGAAGCATGACTCATCGGTCCATAAAACGTTACTTAAAAACTCCCTATTATTTCAGTTCTATCAAGAATCCACTGACAAAATGTGATTCTTCGTTCTCCGTCCCCTGGCTGTAGTCTTTGCACAGGTTGCAAATGGTAAGGACGTCTATGGTTATTTCTAAGAACACGGTGAACATGGCTTGCTGAAATTCCCAAGGGACCAGAGACTCTCCTAACACTTGTGGTCGGATCTCCATCCATTTTGATCCCCTTGGAGATTTCCAAAACTATTTTCAATTATTTGGCGATGCTCTCTTACAAATACTGAGCGAGTTGGATGTCGTCTGTTTGGAAATCTTCGTGCGTATTCTCTGGCTGCTTCTGCTGCGTTTCCATTTACAAAGCCATACACAAAATGAATATCCGCTAATGATTGGAGAATAAAAATGGCTTTTTATAAAACTTACAAAAAAAAACAGGTAAAAGAAACTAAATTTCGTGCATTCACAATTGCAAAAAAACGTTTCAGCTTTCAACAGACAACAAAACTAACTGTCAACTAATTGGCGTTTAACCTTATTCTGCTTTCAATTTCAAAAATATTTGCAGGCACAGCCTACTTCTAAAAATTATCGAGATACTGACTTTTTAACGTTATTTTATCATAAATAATTAAAAATGCATCCAACCTTAAAAATCGAAATATCTCAAAAACGGCTAACTATAACGAAAATTCACAAGAGAGCTTTTTATGTTGAAAAGTGCGAAGAATCAGTTTTTTTATTCAAAAAGCAAAAAATTGCACTAAGAAAAAATTTTTGGTCATTTTAATACACTACAGGTACAGTAGAGAGCGCCATCTAGCGGCTACAGTAATACTATGTCCATGGTTCGTTTTGTCGTACCAAAAAAACCCTTGTATACCAATTTTCACTGTTATACATCAAATATTGTTCGAAATATTAAAAAAAAACTATTTTAGAAAGTAAATTTAAACACCCTGTATTTCGGAAGCCACGCATTTTTCGACCCATGTTTATATAGACTTTATGCATTAATTTTAAAAGTTATATCGAATCTTAAAGTTATGCAACAATAAACTGAAACACCCTGTATACAAGAATTACTGCAATGTGCAACATATTTTTGATGAGATCGTAACTTTTCTGACAATGTAATTCATCAGAAAATCTTCTAATGCCTATATCTCAGTTCAACCAAAACTGAGTTACAATAGTCTTCTTGCAGGTGTCGAATAGTCGTCATTGCCAACTTGACCAGACTATCACAAAACTGGCACCAGTCCAGACCCAAGTCCCCCCAAATCCTGCACATCCTGCCGTTGCCCGGCTCAACTGTCACAATCCGTGAATGGCCGTTTCGAAAACACGTGAGAATTTATATTAAGTTGAAAATTAAATGGGTATTTATTGCATCGCAATCGAAATAAAGTGAGTACCGTTCAACGCATCAATTTTGCCGGATTTCAATGCGACGCTAATTGCTTTTTCGCTCGATCTAATTTCGAATAGACCACGCGCATTATTTGAAATTAATAGACATGGCTTTTGGTACTAATTTATGCGTTGGACATAACGGACCATAATATCATGCTCAATTACAGAGGGTGTTTTTTGAATCTCAATAAAATATGACTTTATTAACCTAAACATCCAATCAGTCATTTTTGATGGCAATAGATTGAGCAAATTGAAAATGATACGAGGGTGGTCTGAAAAGTTTCCGACCTAACAAAAATACAACGCGTTTTTTCTGAATTTTTGGCCAGTTTTCGTTTTCAAATACATTTTCAATTTTTAAAAGCGTGATTGGAAATATTTCAATTAATGCCGTACCTATTCGTAGTAACCGCAATAACATTCTCTAGTAATCAAATATGCTGATGATTGTTCAATTTTCGAACTAGTTTTGAGATCATTAACAAATTACTAACCAGTTTGGAAGATTCTTTACTAAATATACGCATGCAATGAAATTTTGTTTTTCACTAATAAGTGGAGAAATCATCATTCGCAATGCGAAAAACTTTTATCTCACTAGGTAAATAATTATAACAAAAAAAAAGCGTCGAGTCGGATTGCTCTGCACTTCGTACGCAATGCAGTATTATAGTTAATGCCTCTTAGGGAAAAAATGGCCACGAACATGTATAAAAAAGAATTAAACGGATCAAGTCAGTCAAACAGGTTCATACAATTAGTGCATAGTCCCTACAGATTTGAACATATTGCAAATACCCAGACAAGGTGGCAACTCGCGTCAACGCGTCATCGCTCAGTTATCCCTCAACATTCGCAGCAGGTAGGCGTACGTTTGTTGAGTTATCCAGCACGTGTATATCGAAAATATATCTTTATCATTAAGGCAAATGCCCTTGCATTGTCTATGATGAACGAAATATACTTAATAGGTGCATAGAATTGCCGGGGTACTACACCCAACATCCAATTTTTAACTCCTGCATTTTTTCTGAAAATAATATACAGGGTGTTCCTTAATGATATGCGAATATTTAAGGGTGTGAATCTACATGAAAAATTAATGTTAGTTTGCTTTATAAACTATGGTCCGAAAATGTTTTCTTACAAAAACTCGGGGTGTTGAAGTTTTAGGAAAAAAAATGGAAATTAATTAATATTTTAAGAACCGCTTCAGATATTTCACTGATATTTTGTACGTAGTGAAAGTTGATAAAGTTGCATGTTTTTCAATGCAAACATAATGTTTAGCTTTAACAGTGGCGTGCGTACGGGTATTGACTTCGATATTTTTTAAGAAAAAAATGGTACGCCAATGGTTTTTTGTCAAATAAAAATTATTTTTGAATTCTCAGTTCAATTTAAAACAAATTATCTCTCTTGAATTGTTTTCCTTCGATGCGCCATTTTTGAGTAAAGAAATAAAAACCGTTCTATTGTCCGAGAAAATTAATGTAATAATTGAAGAATGCAATTTAGCAATAAATATCTAGTTGCTCTGGGATATGTCACTGGCTTTTGACATCTGACAAGTCTCTGTTATTCAAATCTGTTCGCTGTGACATCTTTTTCATTATTTAGTTTTTACAATCTTCTTAATAATGGTGAATTATTCAAATGCCGAAATGGCGGAAATGCATTACGTATATTGCCTTGTCGACGGTAATGGTGAGCACGCCAGACGGATTTATCACCAGAGATATCCCGATCGTGCTTTGCCAGATAGTCGAACCTTTTCTAATATTCATCGTAGTCTTGTTGAAACTGGTTCTGTCTGAAAAGGAACCTCAAAGTGTGAGCAGCATATTTCTAATTTATTGATTTAGTTAAATTCGCCCTATTATCCTAACTTCAAATGAGTGCCCAAAAGCAATAAAATTAATTAATGTTGGAACATTTGGAGCAATTTGAACTGACGCCAAGGAATAACTCGTTTCATCCTTGCTTATTTGATTGAAAGCATTGTTTGTCAACAATAAATGACCACTACCGAAACATTTTGATTTTCAATTCGCTTTGATCTTTGCACACTCATACTCTAAAAGTACCTTACACTATTTTAACTGATCTATTTTTCATTAACCGAATATTTATGGTAGAAAATTGAAATGTTTGGATGGAAAAACGATTTGTGATGATTTCCACGTAGCCTGAAAAGTATGCAGGCTATCTACGTGTGATCCTAACTTCTTGTTTTCAATTTTCTATATTTGTCAGGTGGAAAAAGTTGTTTTCTTGGCGAAAAAGAGTACGTATTAGGATAATAAAGAAACGAATTCGTGAGGATTCCCGTCAGAAATTTCTAGGCTAAAACAAATATTCCCGAAAAATCATTTCTCATTTTTTCGTTATTCAAACGTGGACATACCAAATATTTGGTTGCAAAAAACGATGAAAAATCCACGTGTGTTCACTTTTCTCAAAAAATTTGACAAATCCTGGGCTAGCTTCACATGACCTTGGATACTTTAAAAGTAGAAAAAACCTAAAATTTTTGGTGAAAAAAACATGATAAAACGTCGGAAAATCGTATGACACAACATCGTTTTTTGACCATCCAGAATTTACTGAGCTCAGTTCAAAGACCTATGTGTCGCTTATAAATAATATTTCCCAATTCCAATTGAGAATTTGTGTGAATAATGATGAAAAGGTATTAGCATTGTTCAAGAGACATCGGACGCTGAAACAAATGAATTTGTTTTCGTAGAGCGCAGAATACGGGAGTGACATTAAAATTAATAGATTCGTTAGTGCTGATGGAGATCGTTCTGTAGACGCAAATTATTTATTTGGGCGATAATTTAATGTACCGTACGCACCTTGATGATTTCAGTAGTAAAGGTGTGGCTAATTAACAACAGAAGCAATAACCGTCATTAAGTTTGCTTGTTAGAGAAAGAATCCATTTCTATTCTTTAACTGATGCAGAGTTATCGTTTTTACTCACAATAGCGTGCTTTCACAGTGACATTTCGTCACTGACGTCACGTCATACGATCTTGGCGAGTGCATAATTTTTCCAGGAGTACTTAACTAATCATTAGCAAAAAGAAGCTTTTATGCAAGCTTATTGGCTTCTAAAACTTTTTGGAAAACGGGTGGGTAGCTGTTTTTTTATCCACAATATTGTACAACCAAAATATACGTATTTCAAGGGTTGAACCCGATTCTCAAAAGAGGCGCATGAATTATTTTTTAGCAAAGATCGGACTATCCATCAAAATCAAATAAGGATTTGTTAAGGTATAGTAATAAATTTTAAATTATACCTATATATTCCTTGTCTCTGGATATATAGTTCTTTTATCAGAGAAACAGTCGAACCTTGCGGAATATCCGCGGATATTGCAAGTTAAAACGGAAAATTAGATCAATTAGAACAGATATCTTTCGACGGAAAAAAGCGCGACCTATCTGCAAAACTTTGATATACAGGGTTTGTCCAGAAAGTAATAGGACTGAGTCGATTTAAAAAAATTTATTGAGCCAATCGTTACAATTCTTTAAAAACTTTCAAAATAGGCGATTTCCAAGCATTGAAGGCGTCACGGAAGGCATTCTCCGGAATAGCCTTGAGAGTCGCGGTGCATGCTGCTTGGATCCCCTCTGTCGTCTCAAAATGATTGCCTTTCATCGGCCTTTTCAGGCGAGGAAACAAAAAAAAGTCCGGGGGGGCACATCTGGGCTGTAGGGCGGCTCCGGAAGTGTTGGGATGCCGGCCTTGGTCAGGTAGCTGTTCGCAAGAAAGGCGGTGTGAGCCGGGTCATGGTGCAACTTCCAGTCGGCTGCGATGTCTTGTCGGACCCGACTGACCCTTCGTTTGAGTTTCCTGAGCACTTACACGTAAAACTTGGCGTTGACGGTTTGTCCAGGAGGAACAAATTCATGGTGGACGATGCCTTTGATGTCAAAAAAGACAATAAGCATGGTTTTCACTTTGTATTCGCTCATTCTTCCCTATTTTTGGGCAAGGAGACGCCGTCGTGTGCCACTCGGAAGATTGCCTCTTTGTCTCGTGATCATACTAAAAGATCCACGACTCGTCACCTGTGATTACGTTATTCAAAAATTGGGGCTCACTTTCACACATGTTGAAATTTTCTTGGCACACTTCCACTCGCCGCAATTTCTGGTCGTCAGTGAGCCCTTTTGGGACCATCTTCGCGCATGTTCAAATGCTGTGTCACAATGTCATGAACCACAGATTTTGGTAAATTTAACATCTGGGCAATTAAACGAATACTATAAAAAGGCCTGGTGTCACCGAAACACACCACTTTTTGCTAAAGCAACACCTGGGTAAGCCTGCTTGATCATATCAAACGTCTCTGACGCAGATTTACCGAGATTCACACAGAAATTAATCGCGTACCTCTGCTCTAACGAACGCTGCATTTTCGGCTTGCACCACTCACAGAAACACGTCGCGCGAAAATGCCTGTCCTGACTCTCCAAGTGTTCGGAGACAACTGACCAGCCGCTCATTCGTTAGCTAGGAACGCCCTCTACCGAATCCAGTCGGTGCGCGAACGCTCCGAAGTACAGTCATGGCGTAAGAAAATGAGTCCTATTACTTTCCGGTCAAACCCTGTACAGCCATTATGACGAAATTTCACACAGTCAAATAATGCTAAAAAGCTAGCATTACATATTTTGGTTTCATACCCTTGCGTTCCAAGTACCAGTAGCTATAAGATGAATGGGGCGCCTCCAGTGTTGCCAGATCGGACGCTCTCTTATAGACCTCGTAGCTCTTCCGACATTTTATTCCGCAGGTAACCTGTTAACAACAATCCTCGTCAGCGCGAAGTGTGACAGTCAGAATGTATTTCCGTCCCGCTGGAAGACTGCCACCTGCTCGGAAGTGTGGGTCAACGTCAGTGTTCCCAACGTGAATCCGCAGCTCGGTTATCGCCTTTCCCAGTTCCCACATCGTCCTATCGACACCACTTGATCGGCTGCGAAAAACCCATTGTGTGCAGTAATCGATCTGCCATCGAGTATCTCCATTGTTTACATATTTATCCTCTGCCATTCTTCCGCTCATCCCTCATGGTATATATTTAGACTTGGAAAGGTGCTTTAAAGTACGCTGGATGCTCTCATGCCAGCTCCATTATTTATGACAGGCATGACGACTAGGGATGTTCGATATTTTTATATACGATACTTGGGTGTACCGATACATTTCACGAGTATCGTCATCTTTCGATCCGGACTACGTCAGAAAGTGTGACTAACTTCAGATTACTTTTCTTCTTTGTTTCCTTCCACTTTACGATCTCACATAATTTATTTTGGTTTTCAGGGTTGCCATATTAGGGAGTTTTCCCCAAAAATCAGGGGATTTTCATTACAATGGAGAAAATTTTGGGGATATGTTTTTCTGGGGATTTCTTTTAGGGAAACATATTTTATTGGGGAGGTATATTGTAAAATTTTATCAATGACATTACTGTACTTGTTATGTAACGGGTGTTTTTTTTTTCGAGGTATAGAACTTTAAGTTGGCATTACTTTTGAAGATGGCGACCGATTTGTCAGCTGTCAAGTGATTTATTCTCAGTTTGGTTTGAATAGACTCACGCCTGAAACAAGCTTGCAAATTGTGCAGTTTTATTTCGAAAATAATGGTTCTGTGCGGAATACGTATCGCGCACTTGAAAAAATTAAACGTCATAGGCCTTCGTGGTAGTTGGGGTATAAAAAAAAATAAGTAAAATAACAATGTTTAAGAATTTAAAAAAAACAACTCAGATTTTTTTTCTATATCGGAAAGTTTCGATATTTTTATTCCGATATTTTAAAGTATCGATACTTCGTAAAGCGATACGAAACGATACATGGTATCGATTTTTTTAGTGGTTCGGAACATCCCTAATGAAGACTGGAGATAGGAGGTTAAACTCAATGACAATAGACAACGAATTTTGGGTTCTGCGCATGTGGCATTTCTCTCTGTTGTTGTCATCATGACTGTAAATAACTCTAATTTTGGCAGTTTGGACAAACAGAAATATAGGATAATATTAATAAACCACGAAGTAAAAAACCTTCTGATTCCTAGTGATTGGTTCCTCCTGTGAAACATTCTTGCGGTTGCCGACGATCGTATGACGTGACGTCATATACGAAATTTCGCTGTGAAAGCATGTCATTATCGGGAGTAAAAACGATAACACTGATCAATGCAGCTAAAGAATAGAAATGAACTCTTTCATTAACAAGCAAACTTAATGACGGTTATTGCTTTTATAGTTAATTAACCCTGCCTTTACTACCATAATCATCAAGATGCGCATAAGGTACATTAAATTATCGTCCAAATAAATAATTTACGTCGACAGAATTATCACCATTAGCACTACGTTTTGCAAGGTGTTACACGCTTCTCTCTCCTGTACACACTGCATCTAAAAGGAACAACAACTTTGACAGCACTGCGTATATTTTTGTGGACTACGAGGTCTGTGAATCAAGTGATGAGACTGGCAATGTAGCGTCCGATCTGGCAACACTGGAGGCGCAGGCCTTGGAGGGGAGACAGGGGAACATGTGATCCACCTTCAGTACAAGTTTGGATTCGTTCGAGTATTTGGTTGTTCGCAGCAATTTTTTTTGAGAAACAGTTATTTCTATTGTGTTCTAAAACAAAAGTGGATGACAATTTCGACGGTGTGCTATAAAGTTTTGCTTCACACTTGGGCACAGTGCAGTGGAAACTATTGCTAAACTTCAGCATAAAACGGAGATAGTGTTTTGTCAAGAAGGTTGACAATATCAAATTGTAATTATATTTAAATGAAAAATTAAAAAAAAACAGCCTCATCACTTAATTTACAGACCTCGTATATGCACACAAAAGATTTGCATTTAACAGAGAGAGAGAGAGAGACATTCTGTATATCCCAACCACTAATTCGCACGAGCCTTTTGTTCATAAATCGATTTCCCACAATCACAAAATCGAGCTTTCTTACGTAAGAAGTACCAAGGATAGGCTGAAAATTCCAGACTTAATTGAATATATTTAAAATTTGAATAATATAGCGGAGTATTTTCGTATGACCCTGACGGAGTAAGCTTAGAAAATAAAACCCAAAATAAACGTATCTTTGGCCAAGTTCCCGGAAAAAAGACAACATATTATCGGAAAGTTCGTAGCCCCGCGGAAGGTTAACAAAATCATAATAATTATACTAGTTAAAATCAGAGAGCAGTAAAAAGGTGTTAAAATCTTGATCTGTTGAAATATCGTTAACCGATCAACAAAAACTATAAAATTGCCCCATCTGGCGAGCTATAAATCCCGTTAAATCCTAGATATTATTAACAGGACCTTGTCAAAATGTAGTTTCTTGAATGTTATAACGGGTGATTTTTTAAGAGGTATAGGATTTGATTTTAAAAAAAAACAAAAAATTTGAAAAAAACGATTAAACCTTTATTTGAGTCGATAGAACGGTCGATATAATTTAATGTTTAAAGATTATTTCATGTAAATGTTGGCCGCGGCTCCGCTTTAGATGGCCCATGCGCAAGGTCCAATTTTGGCACACTCTCTCCAACATATCGGCCGGTATCTCACGAATAAATGCTTCAATATTGGCTTCCAGTGCGTCAATCGTTGCTGGTTTATCCCTGTAGACATTAGCCTTAACATGGCCCCACAAGAAATAGTCCAACGGCGTTAAATCACACGATCTAGGCGGCCAATTGACGGGCCCCAAGCGTGAAATAAACTGTTCACCGAACTCGCCTCTCAATAGGGCCATTGTTTCGTGTGCGGTGTGGCATGTGGCACCGTCTTGTTGAAACCACATGTCAGCCAAGTCCAGCTCTTCCATTTTGGGCAAAAAAAAGTTTGTTATCATCGCACGGTAGCGCTCGCCATTCACAGTTACGTTCCGGCCATTGTCGTCTTTGAAGAAGTACGGCCCGATGATGCGACCGGCCCATAATCCACACCAAACAGTGATTTTTTCGGGATGCATTGCAATGCGTCTGGCTGGTCTTCACTCCAGATGCGGCAATTTTGCTTGTTAACGTACCCATTCAACCAGAAATGAGCTTCGTCGCTGAACACAATTTTTCGATAAAAATGTGGATCTTCCTCCAACTTTGCCAGCGCCCATTCACCAAATTGGAAACGTTGTGGGAGGTCGTGTGGCTTCAATTCTTGCACCAGCTGTATCTTATAAGGTTTTACACCCAAATCCTGTCGCAAAATTTTCCAATTGCTGCGAACGGCGGCGAATCGACATTTCACGGTCATCACTAACACTGGCGGATACAGCCGCAATATTTTCTTCAGTCCTCACTCTACGTCTGCGTGTTGGTGGTTTAATGTCCAATAATGTAAACTGGGTTCGAAATTTAGTCACAAGCTTCCGAATAGCTCCCTCAGTAGGCCGACCAAATTGCCCATAAATTGGAAGCAGTGCTCGATGCACTCTCTTAACCGAGCATGAATTTTGACAGTAAAATTCAATGAGTAATTTGCAATGTTGTTCGTTCGTAAGTCGATTCATGGTTAAATTATAGACCAAACTGAACAAGTTTGACAATGACACAAGACACGATTCACCCCTTATTTCTTAAGTATATTTCTGTATGTTTGTACTATGTAAACTTCTGTTCTTCCACCAACAATTGGTTGATCTGTTGGTATAATTTTTTGGACGCGAGAATCTAGCATTGGCTTCATGTAAAATATCAATGGTTAATGTCACCTCGAATTAGGTTTCTGTTGTACTACTCCGAGTTTGTTAGTTATCTTTAAAAGAAAATGATAGGGGATCTCATGTAGGTATTATAAAATACAGTGCATAGTTTTGTTTTCTACCGTTCATTACTGCCAATAAGAATTGAGTTAATGAACTTAGATTATACTGAACCAGTTTTATGCGGATATTATCACATTTGTTTGGACTTTGTGTCGGCAACATTTAAATTTTGCGGCATAGCGAAGCCAGAAATAACTATAATAACAAATAAAAACGTTTTTGTTCTTAGAAATATGTGTGCCAATTTTGTCTCTCAGTAATTAAATAACTTGAGAGAAAATCTAACGCTTTCTTGCATTATTTTGAAAAAAATGCATTGGGGGACGTGTAAAGATAAGTAATATAGAATAAAAAATTGTTCGCTTGTTTGGCGAACTTGCTACCTTTATCCTGATTTGTCTGATTTCGTGAATCAGGGGATAGAGGATCCTGTTACAGGTCGAATGTCTTCGTTAGGTACGCACCATCATCAGTGTTGCCAATTGTTCAACCTATTATGACAAGCTGTGTAATACTGGTAGTAACATATTGCATGACATTTGAAGGATCATTTTATTTTTGCTAGTACTGATTCAACATATCTTCAATAAAAAATGAATGATTTTAACAAGAATTCACACAGAAAGTGTAGGCCCTTGAAATTGTTAACAAGAAAGCTACAACGTTGATAAAAAAAACTAAAGTAAAGTGTCTCGTAAAGCTTATTTTCTCGGCTTTTTCTGAAAATATCCCATCCATACTAAATTTTCCGATCAGCAGTAATATAAACGCTGTCATATATGAATTATGCGTTCCTTTGTAATGATGCATTACAGCATTCTGTTTAATGTAATTGACCTATTAGTCCAATTTCGATGCATTTAAAAATAGCACGCTTCCACTGGTTGGTATACGCCAGGCCAATTTGTATATTAGGACTGATGCAGATTTAGATTTAAAGCATAGTTTCATCATAACTATGTGGAAATGGTAGTTTGATTTTTATATCGGATTCGTGTAGATCGAATCAACTATTCCCTGGATATTCGTGTTATCGTTTATTACTCCTCCACGTATTTTGTTAAATGCCTCTAGACGCGACTAAGGCCAAGTCCAAAATTTACAGAAAAAAATAAAGATATTCCAAGTGATACTTCCTATTTTTCACTTTACCCATTTTAAAATGGCTATTTTACCTGAAAACAATGCTAATACCTGCTATACCAATAACTCCACATCTAATTGGATACAATAGATGCTATTGTAAAAATGTCAACGAATTACACCGAAAATCGGTAACAAAACAGTGAAGCACAACAAAAGAAATGTAAAACTGACAATATTTGCATCATCTATGCTTAGAAAGCAAAAGCATAAGTCCAAACTTTAGGAGATATGTACTAGCACTGAAAAATATCCTCAAGTAACAAAAGAGGGCTAATGGAGTTCTGACTTGACTCGAGATTTGATGTAGAGCATTTTTCTTGACCTATATTTAAATGAACTTATCACTTCTCTACCCCAGTTATGGAAAAAACAAATATTTCAAAATTGAAGTATGTATAGTATTCTCATGTTTTTATAAAAATTAATGTACTTGAATTTTTTCTGTGGTAATGTAGATTAACAAATTTGTAAAAATGTGCCTGATAACACAAAATCAATAAAATATATGGAGGATTACTGCCACAAGTTTGGATTACAGGAAAGCTTACTGTTGATTAATCCTCTCTAGATATGAATGAAATATGGGTATGATATGCTTTCCATATACATATTTACAGCCTGCAAATAGGGAGATGATATATTTCAATAACTCTAATGGGTTTGATTATGATGCAATGCTTCATACATTTTGGAAGTATTAATATGGTCGATGATATTGCTAGCAGTTAAGGATCCTAGGGTTGGCAGATATTACTTATTTCCCGAAAGACAAAACATGGGGCATTGAATATAGTTAGAGACTTATATGTACTTCCACGCCTGAGTATCTGCTAGGTTGGGTAGTGGTCTGATATGCAGGTACCAAGTGAAATTAAATTAAACAAAAATGACACTAATTTTACTTAAATTCTAATAACTGGTTTTTGTATAACATTGTAAAACATAATTACAGATCAATACTCAGCACTGCCAGACATTTCTCACTGGCCATAACTTCCAATACCTTAAATAAGGTGTCTCACTATAAATTGTCTTCCCTCTCAACATTTTTGCATTGAGTTTTTAAAAAATACTTATAAAAGTTATAAAGTCTACTATAAATTTTTTATGCAATGTATTTTTTGTATACAGGTATTGAGGTATGATCAAAGAGTGTCTTGTTTAAGAAATGCAACTATTTGATAGAACAATTTTGTAAAATGTTATATAGTAGTTAGCTGAAAATGAAGTAGCAGTAGTTGAAACTTTTCTTAATAGTAAAACACTCTTCTAAGGACATGCTTTCAAAATGCCTCAGAAGCTATACAGGTTAGGAAATTTTATATAGCAGATATCTATTATAATCAGGGACATAGTGAATAATTTACTGTAACGCTTGCTAAACATTTTTTTGCACCACTTGTTCAAAAGAACACTAGGCTTTACAGGAGGACCTAAAAGGGATCTGAAATATACTAGCACCATCTATGATACAGTAGCAAAACCAAACACTCTACTCTTTCCAACATACATTTCTTATTTTATTTTTATGTCCTGCTACCATCTCATATATGGTGCTATAATATTTAGATCCCTTTTTGAGAACTGGAATACAGTATATAGCTATAATCAGGTAAAATTTAATCAATGCTATCCAGTCAGATCCAGTTTTGTAATTACCTACATTCAAATTTTAGTTTTGAATATTTTGATAATCTCAAACTATTTTAATTTATGATCTGCAGGGTCCCTAGGAGAAAATGGCAGCTTTAAGATACCCACTTTAGAATAAATCAAGTGGGTTGGGGGTTAGAACATGGAAAGACAGAATCAAACTCCACTTTTAATTTGGGTCTTCATCTTGGGCAGATGTTAACTACTACGGACAGCATCATCTGTGGTCATGGGCTTCAAATTGCCTGAACTTGCTGAACAAAAACCTGCAATAGAGCTTGATCTGTTTTGATAAGGCTTTTTTGCGCTCTCTCTCTCTTGAGAGAGAAATTCCCTGAGGAAATTGCTAGGTCATGGTGAGGTAATATGGGCCTTTAAACTAAGGTGGCCCTAGAAGAAATGAAGACATGATTATAGCGATTTTTTACATTCTCCTTGAATAGAAAGGTGCAAAAGGGTTCATTTATCTATAAGTATATTTTACTAAGACTTTTTTGTTTTCTAGGAAGGATTGACAGTCTAGGGGTGTCTTTCCCTCATATACCTTGGACTAATAGGTTATAACATCGGAGCAATTCAGATATGATGGGGCCTTCTGTCCTTCACGCCCTAGATGCAGACGAAAAAGCACTTACCTTCATCCTTGGAAATAGTAGATTCATCAGGAGAGGCAGCCTCGTTTCCGGCGGCCCCCGCACCATCATACAGAATGGAAGTAGTCCTGCTCTCCCTGAGCCTGGTGAAATAGTCAGCCGCGTAAGACACCACGTCGCCCGGTTGCTCCAGTAAGTAGCTGATCGTGAACTCGAGAAGGACCTCACGAAGCTCGTCTGGCACTTGGATTCTCGGTCCGCACTGTCCGCGGCTCATATTTCGCTCTCTGATCAGCGGGGCCCTCTTACACCGACACTGAAATCCCGTAAAATATACTAGGCCACGATTCGAGACTCGACCAGGGCGAAATGTGGAGACGATTTGGCTAGACTTGTCTCGTGGCGGCGGGCATCACGTAAACGAACTTAAAACGGTTTCGAAAGGGGCCGAGCTGACCATTCACTTGCTTGTGGGAGTAGGGCGAGTTGAGCCCTTTGGCGAAAATGGAGGTGAACTTGCAAGGGCGCGAGATTACCGCACGATATCTCGTCTGCCTTTCACCACTGCCGTGAACGACACCTTCCTACGTGCGAATGGAAGAATTTTTCATTGCATTTTCACGAATTGTCCGGCGACACTGCACGAAATACGCTTTGCGCCACTATAATCAATGATTAATGATCGACTGACACTTTCGGGCCACGGATGACAGGTGGACAGGTGGAAATTTAACTGAAAATGGAAAACAGGCCTGCGGCTAATGCGAAAAGCAGGCCAACAGCCGGTTCACTGACGTATTGCTGGTTGCATAAGCAGCCGATTCCCTGATAAAATTGATTAGACTGCAGTGGCGTAGCAAAAATATGGCAAACCGGCGATCAAAAGGTATTAAATGGCATCAAAATCTGACCCTATTTCACCTATAGCGATTATAACCTTCCGCCAGATGTGAAGTTTTAATAAATAAAATATCCTCAACAATGTATGGTACGAAAATGTATGGCTATGTGTATCGAACAAATCTCTAAAATTTTTTGGTTGATTCGTTTGGTGGGAGGTAAAGAGGATTTGAATGAGCTGTTTTTAAGTGCGTGAATCTGTGATTTCTAATGCTTTTTCATCCCAGAGCATACATACAGATAAGCTAAAAACGAACACACGCTGCATCTTTCTTGAAAATGTACGTAAACAATCTATATCATCTATTAACAATTCAATTATTTGTATTATATGCATAGATAACCACCCAATTCGATTCTTCTAGAAAAAGTTCAACTTTCTAATGCTCTTTTTATCAATTTGATTATATTTTCTACTGGCGTTCTCAAATTCGCATAATCTTTTGAATATCTCGTAGAGCTCTAAAGTTCTTATAAACGCAAAAATAATTTCTATGATTAAGCAATAATAGTATCGAACATTTTTGTACACCTCATACGTCGCAAAAAAAATTGGTTTGATGTCAAATTGAAACTCACCACCTAAATATTCTAATTTACCAGCGTAATGTCCAATAATATTGCTCAGCCGTATTTTTTTCCAATGATCGATCCGACGTTATGATTCACATGTTTAGAATATTTAAGTTCGTAAGGATGAAACGTGTACGTCACCGCTATGTAACGTTGACACTTTATCTCACGGCATTATAGTCCCCGAGCCCATGCCCGAAAATCGGCCATATTTTTTATTATGGTTAGAAAAACGGCATGTTATCAAGATTGCGGTGATATTTTTAGTTAGGCGTAAGTAGTTTAAGCTCGACTTGCAAATCTATTTTTAAAGCTGCAGCAACATATCTTTTCCTATATTATACGTGTAAAATAAAAATCCACAAAAACATGATTAGGGTCGTACCATGACGTCCTTGATTATTCTAGACTTTTCTGTCCTTCAGAAAGGCTCAAATTGTTCATGCTTTTGATTTATATCATCTGTTATATCAGCCTGAAATTTCCTACAATTCAAAAGAATATCAAATTCAAGAAGACCATAAAGGCGTCCTACAATGGAGAAGTTTCGTGATATTCAGAATCGCTTAAATAATTACATACCAGCAAAATATAGACTAAATATAATTAACAAGTGAAAAAATTATTGAAATCGGCCAATAAATAACAGAGAAATTGATACTTAAATTTAGCGCATTATAGCGTCTCGTCGCGTCTGTGCGTTTAGTCATTAGTCTATAGACAATTCATAAGACACACCTGTGCGCTCAGACACGTGGTTTTCCACTTGTTAACTATTGAGTACTGCGTAAAGTTCATACCATTATGGAAGCCGGATTTGTAAAAGGGTCAAGTGACAATTTGCCCAAAATTGACATTTATGCCGTGATGGAATTTATTTCTTCAAATCCATCATATACAAGCGCGGTAATAAAAAGTGGGAAACTTTGGAAGTAAGTACTTATGTCTACTGCTACACTATCACAACTAGCGGCAAAATGTGCGATACCCTACTGAGGCTTGAAACAAATTAGTGTTGATGCTTAATATTAGTACAGATTCGCAAATATGATACGATACTTTCCTAAAATCTCGTTAAAGTATATAATAACATTGTACATGCACACAGTAAAGAGTCAACCTACTTGACGCCTTTTTAGGTGGGTAAGTGGCACTATAGTAGGTCACATTTATTCTCGCTGTGTTGAAATAAGTGACCTGTAATATTTTGTTTTTCGATTCAGAACTGCCGCGCTCCAATCCCTTCAGAAGCTCTGGAATTATTATTACGCTCAGACGAATTTTTTTCGGCGAGGTGATGAATATTCGCCTATAATTTCGCACTCAGCCACTTTTTCATTATTTATAAAACCTAATTTTTGTGGATGATAACAGACTACAACAGGGCATGGTACTCGCTTCAAGTTTTTTTCTCATTTCGTTGGATTCCTGGTATATAAGCTTCGAGGTGCAGCGGTTGGGAGTGACATGCAACCATCTGTGAAGTTTACATTGCTTGTCCAATCGATGTTGGTTTTTTAGAGAAAAGCGACTTTAAAGTAAAATAAAATCTGACAACGCCGCAATGCCAGACGCAAATTAGGACGGAACGCAGTGTAAATAAAGATGGAGTTTGTTATTTTTGGCTCTTAGGTATTATTTCATTATTTGATAATGTACTCGTAAAATGCAAACAATTAAAAAAACGAACTTACCACTAACTGTCTCAGAGCTTCACCTGGTGTGTGAAAGTTTATTGAACGTATTAAAAAAATCCAATTATAAATAGGAAACACAATTTTGATACATACATTGTTTTTCTTTTTAAAACCCACACTGCACTTTTTTGTATTTAAAGAAGGTGTTGAAAATGTCGTCCTCCACTTTCCACACAAGCTTCATTACGACGAACCCACTTTATTCTTACTCTAGGTCCTCGAAGTTGTCCATTTATTATTTCAGCCGCATTAAATTTTTTTTCGCGAAGTTGTGCTTCAGTTGTTATTGGACCAGTCCCATAAACCATCCCTTTAAGTTCTCCCCAATACCAGAAATCCATCGGATTGAGGTCAGGAGATCTAGCTGGTCATTTTCGAGGATCAGGAGCATTTCGACCGATCCAGCTATTTGGATAACGTTCATTCAAATACTGAATGACGCCTCTAAAAATGTGTGTTGGTGCCCCGTCATGAAGAAACCACAAATTCTGTCTCCGTTGTAATGGCATGTTGTCTAAGGTCTGTTCCAAAAGTTCTTGTAGGTTATTGGCTAGAAAGCTAAGGTATCCTTCTCCTGACAACTTTGGGGGTAACTCGGAAGGGCCAATTATCTGATCGTCAAGAATACCCGTCCAAATATTTATTTTAAGACGTTGTTGGAAATGACCTTCACGAATGGTATGAGGATTTTTTTGGGCCCACGTGTGAGTATTATGGAAATTTAACATCCCGTCTTGCGTAAAAGTACATTCGTCCGTCGCTAGAATTTTAAAAAAAAAATTTTTGTGCAAAAACCACTGACAGAATGTTAGTCTGCAAGGATAGTCTTCTGGTAACAAGGCCTGCACTCGTTGTACATGGTAGGGATAAAGCAAATTTTCCCGTAGGATTCTATGGACTATGGTATGCAATAGTCCTACACGGCGGCCTAATTCCCGAGTGCTGATATCTGCATTGATTTCCATGATATTTAAAATTTGTCGCTCCTGCTCTACAGTAACCTGTCCTTCACGAGTGCAAATATTAGTGGGCTGAACACTTCCTGTATCTCGAAGTCTTTGGTACACTTGCACAAATGTCGTTCTGTCTGGGTGTAATAGTTGGCGAAATCTGGCGCGATGAATTTGAGCTGCAAGATTTGAATTCTGACGAGCTTCACAGTAAACTAGCATGTCGGCAAACTCTTGATTCGAGAACATTGTAAATAAACACGGCGACGTACGCGAATAATAACTAACCACTGTTACCGTTTGCGATCGATTGCCGGTTCGATAAGAGTGATGAATGACTGATGCGCTGTTGTCATGTGTGTTTTAAATATTTAATTCAATGAAACTTACTTACTGACTACAAATTGTGGCTTAACTTAGAAAAACCCTGTTTAAAAACGTTTTAGATTAGATTATAAAAATTAGTAAGATTGTGGTCGATATAAAGCACTTAAAGTTGTAAACTATAAAGCCATTTAGACAAAAATCTATTGACTTTTGGACCATGGGTCATATGAACTTTTTGACTTGTTTTGAACCCCCCCCCCCCTATTACCCATTGCAATAATGACTACCATAACGTTTACAGCCTGTATGAATGGAGCGCGCCCGTTTGTGCTCCTAGATCGCGCCTCTAGTCCCTGGTATTTGGTTTCAAGAAATATGTAATAAATAAAAGACATGCGTAGATATATAACTTTAATCTTCTGAATTAATACTTATATGATACATCGACGATAGCGACGGGCGGCCGTTGCCCGCCTAGTAAAGTCCGGGAGGGGCGTGGGGGGATAGGGGTAAAGAGGTGGGGAGTATCGGCCACGCCTGCCCGTCGCCGCGTTGGCCTTAACAGTAGTTAACGGAGCCCGCTGGTGCCACCTTTGTGAGAGTGGGGGCAGCTGGCGGCAGCTAGGGGCGGTCATCCTTGGTGCTCCTCCTCCCGCCTAAAGCTCACGAGCTCAGGTGCAGGTTCTGATTCATCACAGGCCGCCCCTCCAGTTTCGAGTAGTCCAGGTGGAATTCTTTCGCCACCTAAGAGCAAAAAATATTTAGCAAGATAAGCTTCAAACAAATCTATCAATACAGGGTGTTAATAAAGTATGTAGACAAACTTCAGGAGGTGATTCTTTGCGTAATCTCAAGATGAAAAGTTCGTATAAACATAGATCCAGAAATGCTTCGTTTTCTAGAGGGTGTCAAACTTTTTTTAAAAATCGGTTTGTTTCCTAAATATCTTCATAAACTTTCAGTCGATTATTTTCAAATTCTGCAGTAGCATTAAGGGCAATAAGGGGTAATTTAGCTCCTATTGAATTGAAATCATCAAATCCAGTGGCGTCCTGGAAAACATCCTAACCAATATCTTTGACAAAAAATTTGTGCGTCAAAGACTTCTACCGATTTTTTTTTATATTATCTCGCTTCGTTTGCGAGATAAAAAATAAAAAGCACTTTATTGCATGTTTTTGATAATTACACGAAAGTCGCCTTTTGAATATTTTTGCTCGGATTATACCTGCTTTCGATAAAACAGATAAACATAAAATATTTACATAACGTTACTTATATTGGCAATGTTTTGCCAGTGGCGTTGCACAGTCTCTCAGGAGACAAAAAAGTTGTATTTTTAGCTCCTTCAGAAAAAAATTGAAAAATTGAAAAAGGCCAGTGGCCCCCAATTTTTTGTCAAAGATATTGGTTAGAGTAACTCTTAAAAACACTCCAAATAATATAAATAATAAGCACTGCTTTAAGTAAGTTATGTCAAAGCCAGAATTGTTTGAGTAGCAATTGTTTTTCCTTTCATTGCGCTCTTATTTTTTGTTACTTTTAAATTATTGCTGTTATAAATTATTACGTTATGCGATTATTATATGTTATTTTGATTTATCGAAATTAGTTTGCCAGGTGCCAAAATCACGTAACCTTTTTTTTTACTATTTATCACTTATCCGTAATTTCAATTTCTCTTCATTGATAATAGAGTGCCCATTCCTAGGCCAAACCCTTTTCAATGATTTTCTTTTGGCAAATTTAATAGTTTATTGATTGTATAATTTCACTCGTATTATATCTTTCTTTCTCAACGATTCAGTATGGTGTTGACGATCAGCAAAAAACACTGTAGTTTTTCTCCGTTGGTTGGTTTCCTATAAAACATATCTTTTCCAAGGTCACTCAAGATACCTTCTTGTAGAACGTTACGTGTTCTGCGTGATTCGCTTTTCTGTTTCCGTTGAGGTCGCAGTGCAGGGGTCGTTTCGTCATTTTCCGGACTCTGGAATATTAGGCCCCAAGCGCCAATTCATGGACTAGCACCCTTTTCTTTTGTGTAACTTAAGTTTAGTCATTTTGGTTTGGGTGCTACGTCTTCCATTTTTTTTATTGGATTTTGACCCTCAGCGGTAAGTTATTTTTTATATACCTTCGGACCACGTGCCTTAATGCGTGTCCTGAAGACGTTCGTTCAATATCTGCTTTCTTTTAGTTAATAGAAACAGAAGAGAATCATCATCCTTTCTCCTCCAGTTGGATGCATCTTGTTGCAGTTTTGCAAATTGGTGGAAGCCATCCCCTTGAAAAAAAAAATGCTGATGTGAACAGGTAAAATTTGACGTGCCCACTATCGGCCACTTTTTGACCAGAGTTGAGGACATCTCGGCCGCGCCTGACAAAGAAGACCTACAGATAAGTTTAATATTTAGGCGCAAAATATCTGTAAATACTTCGGGCGTATACCATGGTAGACGTTTCGCGGGGTTACCTCAAAAAATAATTTTGTCAGGTTGTATTTAAGATTTATAACATCCTTTCTTTTTTTTATTACTCGCACTCCAGCAGTGGAGCTCATGTGCGTCTTTTATTAATCAATATATTGTGACTCATTTAATATCTTGTTTTATTTGGCTCTCTCTGGGTGTACTGTTACTTGAATTTCGTCATCTCTGTTAGATTCTCCTTTTGTGTGGTGGTCAAGCAAAACAAGTTCCGACTAACATCTCGGGGAGTTGTGGCTTAATCCGTCCTAAGTCACTGGCGCTCTTAACCCCCCCCCCCCCCCCAACTCCCCGCTTTGTTGAGCTAGGGCCTAAATTTGCACGCCACTCGACAACTGTTTTGCTTGGACCAACTGTTAGATAGTATTTATCATTGTGTTTTATTAATTAACAAAAAAAGGAGTGGCAAATTTTGTGGCGCCCAACGTCAGTAGATCTGTTTCCACTTTGAAAATATTGCCAGTGTACCATTGCTCTTCACTTGCTCCTTCTTAGCGTGATCTACCGGATTTCGTTTACATAGGTTTAGAATATTTTTTTTAGGTGGGAATGTTAGTGTGAATTTGAATATTCTCTTTGATTCTGATAATCAGCTTGATTCTTGTTTCTGTAGGTTATTGGTAGCTCAGCGTTATTAATTACCGTTACCTACACTGTAGATACCCTCCTACCCTCCTAATAAATATGTGCGAAAAAATTCAAGAGATGACTTTGTCTAATGTTAGTTTGGTGGTTTCAATGTTTTATGTTATTATCCCAGGGAGATGTAATAAAGGTCTTTTTATTTTTTATCTCGCAAACAATGCGACCAACCGATTTTTTTAAAAAAGTTTGACATCCTGTATCGTGAAAATGAAGCATTTCTGGACCTATGTTTTTCAACTTAAATTTCTCAAAGTATCATCTCCTGGAGTTTGTCTACGTACTTAATTAACACCATGTATATATAAAAATGCATCTCTATTTCCTGTGGCCACTCCATAACTAGAGAACGATTTTACCGATTTCATTCATCTTTTTTTTTTTAGTTTCCTAATACTGTATTGAAGGTTCTTACGAAAAGAAAATTGGGAAATCTTAGAAAGCCTAATGATTATTTGAGCTACGCGCGCTTGAGCAGAACAAATGCATCAAGCACCAAAAGAGACAGGCACTCCTCTCCACCATCAAACATTTTATTTGTCATTCTACTATATCTTTGACGTAGTGTTACATAAGAAGCATTCGCTGTTTAATTTCCTGACTAAAGACTGACTGTAGCAATACAAATAAAGTTCGTATATCTGCGTTTTTTGTGTTATTACTATCCTGCTTTCACCGGCTACTAGAGCTAGTATTGGGCATATGACCGGACAATATATTGCAGCCAGATATACCTTGCAAACCTAATTGACAACTCACCTTACGCCAATTTTGCGCGTCAAAGAAATAGTAGGTACCCCGTTCGTACGTCGCCGTCTTCTCTATTAGCACCATTCCCGGAACTTGCGTAATCCACACCTTCTCTTCTATGTGGTACCTCCATTCCCGACTGTACCTGTAACCAAAGAGCGTGTCAATTAGTTCCTTAATTTAATTCATTGTTATACATCACTAGACTAGACCTGCGGCTCCGTTCGCCTGGAATTAGTGAAAGATATAAATCATTCGTTTCGCATTAGTGTTAAGGAGATTGATTTCTGAGAAATAAATGCAATATTCAAAGTAATGCAATACTTAATTTGGCAAGGAACACTTTATTGTGAACAATAAATTACTTTCAATGTTTGGCTTTTTTAAATCCTCGATAAAATGTAAGGAGTTCCTACGAAAATTTATCTGACCTTGAAGGCAATGGTATACTTGAAATTATCCGCAATTTGCATTTCAGGAGTTAAAAATTGATGTTTTCTGTTAAAAAATAATTTGATCTCCAAATGACCTTGGTGGTCATAGTCAAGGTCATGAACATGAACATAAAGTTTCTTGCTCGATTTATTTCCAGAATCAAAAATAAGGGTTTTCATTTAGGAAAACTGCCTTGATCTCCAAATGAGCTTTAAGGTCATAGTTAAGGTCACGTTCCAGGTCACCATTAGATGTTTTTTTTCAAACCTTACAACTTTATCACACGACAATTTTCTTTATGGAACGTATTTTTCGAGATTTTTTTGCTTTCTCCTATTTTCTGGACATCCTCAAATAGCCATGAAGATCATGATCAAGGTTATGGGCAAATATATAATTAAACGTAAAATTTTCCGCTATTTACACTTCGGTGTCAAAAATCACCAATATCACCAATCTATGGATCTTTTTAAACCTTATAACTTTAATCCTCAACATTTTTCTATGGGAAAAGAATTTTTCGAGATATTTTACCTATAGCGGAAGTGTCCAAATTTTTACGTCTCTTGATATTGTGGTTCAGACGTGGTGCTGACAAACTTGACATTCACATTTATATAGGGTGTTCAAAAAATAGACGGAGATATTTTAGAGGGTGATTTTTTTTAATCCGTTGTGATGTGTTCCTGACATACAGCTGTGTGTTTTTTTTTTCTATTTTTCAAGAATATACCATGGATTCAGCTTTAACCAGGCACGAAATGTTTCCATCAACTCAACAAATAATAACATTTAGCAACAATCTCACATACTGTTGTAAGTAGTGTAAAATCAAGTTTGCACTTGTAGTTCCTATTTTTCCTAATGTTATAGTAGCTCCTGATGATGATGGCATAGTTCATCGAAAGCTTGAAATAATAAAGTAAAATGAGCCCTCATTGCTTTAATTTTGTCGAAGTACCTAACTCTAAACGCTGAAGCTTTTCTCACCAGACTGGTTGTTTAGACGTCAATGACCACGAGTCAAGTTATACATGTATATACATTAAATATTTCCTTGAACAATGTTTTGAGGAAAGGTACTAAAGATCATACAACTTATATAATCGTACTTACAATTCAGAAGCTGCGGCTATTTGAAGTACATCACCAACACTGTTGTAAAACATAAAAAAGAGCAGATCATCTTTATACCGGCTAAGCTTCATTGACGCCAGTTTATCCCTGAAAATAAAACAAAAAGCTAGACTTTGTGTAATAATCGATATGATCATGATTACATTTCAAGTTGGATAGGAATTGAATAAATTTTAATCAACATTTGGTAAGAATTTATCAGATATGCTACAGAATTTCAAACGGATCCACTATTGCCAACAGTACCAAAATTAACTAACGTGCATTTGAATAGACGCCAAAATGTGCTGAAACTTAACCAGGTTAAATGGATGAAAGGACGCCTATACATAGGTGGCAATTTTAGGTTAGATGAAACAGTTTTGAAGTAAAAGTGTATGATGCATTAGTTATCTTCCATGTAAGAAAGATCGTTAGTACTGTAGTATAATCTTAACTGACTGAATGAAAGATCTCGATAAAGTACTTTTTTATGTATGCTTCTGAACGCGTTGTACAGCTCAGACAATTTTTTGCGAATGAAATGCTGTACATTTACGGTTTCAGAAGTTTCGTTGAGTTATATTGGCATTACATTCTTTGAATCGTTTAATTTCGGTATATTTTCAAGAGAAGCACATTTGTAAGTCATGAAAAAGCTATCTCATTGAGAAACCAAAGTGTACCTGATGCTATGGTTGATGAGATACTCGGGCGGCACATGATAATCGACGTCCTGCGGCCTGAGCGGATGTTCCGCCCAGGGCCCTCCGAATGTCGGATACAGGTTGTCGGCAGAGTTCAGGTTCAGTCCTAGCGCTGTCAGGTCCTGCCCCAGCGCCAGCGACACCAGGTTCGGATCCGTTTCGGCGGCTCGGATGAACGTCAGAAGGCCCACGATGCCGAACTGGTCCGACACCATGCTGGCAGGGATGTTGGTCACGCGGCCATCGGGCAGTGTCTGGATTCCTGCAACAATATCAAATTTGATTATTACGATGTCTTTCAAGTTTTGCATATAGAAACATAGTAGGCCGCGCGGATCGAACGTCAGTACTGAATCTTAACCTCACTCTTTAGTAAACTTAAATTCAAAGTTTCACAACAATACGTGCAGTGTTCTCACTACAGTGAATTTTTAAGTGTCACCAAGTCAGTAGAAAAATGGAACTCAACCAAGAAGATTTTCGCGCCATACTTTATTACAACTTTTAGAGACAATTATCGCAACACGAATGCCTTGCTGAGTTACTGTCTGTTTTCGGCAACGAAGCGCCACATCAGTCGACAATTTCTCGTTGGTATGGAGAATTCAAACGTGGACGGGTGAGTCTTAGCGACGATCCCAGGGTGGGTGCACCAAAAACGGCAGTCACCCAGGAAAAGGTCGATGCTGTGCGCAAACTCATCATTGAAGATAGACATGTGACATATCGCGAGACTGAGGCGTCCTTGAAGATCTCAAAGACCTCAATTCAAAAAAATTTGCATGAAGAATAGGAGTACGAAAATTAGTTTCTCGTTGGATACCCCACCTGTTGACTGAAGAGCAGAAAGCAGCCAGGGTTAATTGGTATCAAGTCGGATCTTTTTATGGTCTCATTTTTTAGGTCTCATAAATACCTAAGACTCTTATTTGAAGAGTTTTTTTCGTTCCTGCCAACATTTTCAATTGAATCCCAAAAAACACGTTTTCTCATTCTTAGTCGTCGTATAAAAAGTTTCCCCACAAAAATTGGTGTACCCATTTTATGCGTCCATGTTTTGAACAATTACAACTAATTCGGAAAATGTGCTAATATGATTAGACGGGGCAGTAATGTAATTTTTTTTTGAATGATATTGACACATGAATCAAACCTGATGTATGTAAAATCACGAAGAATGCAAATGATACGAATTTGCTCCAAAGAATGCACGTGATGACCCAATGTACAAACCTGGTTTTTTAATAATATGCTAATTCTTAATAAAACTAAGACCTGCGCTATGTATTTCCGAACAACAGACTGTAGAGCAAATTTTCAAAATTCAATTTGCCTTAATGGAACAACAATTACAGTGACTACTGACAATACTAGATTTCTTGGTATTGAATTAGATAGTCACCCCAGGTGGAGTAATCCGGAAAATCATATGATTTATTTCAGAAACAAGCTTAATAAGTTGCTAAATATTTGGATAGAGTTGTGTATCTCTCAAATTTTGAATCTAGAGGAAGGTATGAAACTGTTATTCGGCAAATGTAGTGACTGATAGATTTTTGTAATACAAAAGAGAACTTTGAGAAATATTTTGAGTTTGAAGTTAAATGAATCGTGTAGAAGCAAATTCAAGTAATTGGGTATTTTAACAGTTTTTGGTATGTCTCATATATGTATTTAAAAACAAGTGATTGTTCACACGTAATGAGCCTAGAACCATATTAGTCTTTAACTATATTTATCCTAAGCATAGATTAATTACTGTTAATTGTATACAATTTTCTAAAACTTTTGAACCATTTTCCACCAGTTGTGAAAAAGATTGTTAAACTAAGTGCATTATACAAAATATTACCAAATTTAGAACCACATACAATCAATGACTTTCTCAAGGCAGATTTGAACAATATGCTATAGAGTAAGATTTTATTGTTACTTTTGTTTGGTTGACGCTATTTGTATCAGAAGTGGTTTACAACTATTGTATAGCATTTGTATTTGCAAATGAAATACTGTTATTATCGTTATTACATCACCCCCACATATGTTGTTTGATTGTCCCGACATTTCATACGATGTCCAGAGTCCCGGAAAAATACAAATAGTCCCAACAAATAACACAAATTTATAATTACGGAAATTTAGAGGGAAATTAAAAATTAAAAAACAAAAAAAAATTCCTCTGTCTTATTCATCCTAATAGCTTTTTTTGTGGAAGGGCGTTCAATTGATCAAATAACAGAATGGCAATAGATTTAACTAAAGCCGAACTATTAATAAGATGAAGCTTTGTTGAAAATTGTATAGATTTTAATACTTTTTTCATATAGGTACACATTCACTTGACTATTTCCAATAATACGCAATAAAAAACATGAGTCTCTAAATACCCCAAATAATGAGAAAAAGGAGTATTTCAGGGCAAAGATGCTGACAATCTCAAAACACGCGTAACAGTACGCGCGCGTCAATATTGATTTGTGTTCAACATTGACGTTCGACCGTCTGATCTGTCCACGAATAAACAATTGAAGCTCCCTTGATGCTCGCATAAAAACCTACCTTTATTGTTTCCGTTCTTATCTCCTTGCGCGTCTCTATTGGGCGTCCCCGTACCGCCTGTCGCCGTGCCCGTATCTCCTTGGCCTTGCTGCTGCTGTCCTTGCTGCTTGTCACCTGCAGGCGTACCTGAGTTAGCAGGCCCCCCTCCACCGACGCCACTGCCGGGCGACGCACCGTCTCGCGTCGTCTGCGTGCCAGGCAACGCCGGGAAGTCTTCCGATGACATCTGGAACTCGCTCGCCTGGGAAAAAGTACCAGGTAGGAAAGTTCATCAAAAAGCCAAAGATCAAAATTGTCATTAATAAATAAGATGCTGCTATATAAGGTCCTCATAAAACCTGTTTGGATAATATATATGGTATACAATTGTGGGGTATCGCCGCTAACAGCGATCTTGAGATTTTTGAAAGATTTGAATCAGACATTTCATACCATAACCATAACTGAAGTAATCCACCATGACCTAAATCATTGATTAATATATTGCACCTGGAGATACGCAATTAAAACAGGCATTAGAGAGGGAGCGCCACCTATGAAACAGTAGCAGAACCAAACACTTTTAACTCTTTTCAAAGTAGATTTATAAATTCAATTTTGTTTTCGCTACTGGCTCATAAATGGTGATAGTATCTTTCAGATCCCTTTTTTGGACTCCGAAACAGTATATGAAGTAGAATATGTTGATCACGACTAAACGTGCCTACTGTGAATGATACACGTCGGAAGTGTTACCCTAAATATCGTGACAGAGGTAGAACAAGAAGAGGACTATGAAGAAGTCTAGGATAACCTCACACATTGGCTTAAGAACACACCATCATCTATTGTTAACTCTACGAGTATAAGAATGTATCATTAAGTAAATTCCTTTCGTATCCTGGTAATTCTTTTAGACTCATTCTTCGGCGTGCGTGAAAAGTGGAAAGAATTTTTCGAGCCCTTAACATACAAAAGGCAACACTAATTGAAAGTTCAGAAAAAAGTATACAACGGGTGAAGGTTAAACATCCGTTAAGGAAGATTTCCATTATCCGTCCCTCTACTAGGGCAGGGATTAGGGGGTCTATCAACGCTATGAAATATTTTCGCACATATGTATTTTAACCACGGCTTGTGAGTTTGGTATTTAAAAGCAACGAAGGAAAGTGAAACAAATGAAACACGTTTTAGTAGGTAACTAGGTATTCAAACATAAGAGATACAGAAGAAACTCCGAATGGAACGACATACTACTTTAGATGTATGTTAAATTGCGGATGCAATATACAGAAGACAGGCAAGTCTAGTCTCCAAAAATATACTTCAACAAAGCGAATGATTATTTATTTTATTCATAACTTACATTCATCACTGAAGCCTCTAAATTGATTTAAGATATTTTTCATTGCAGGAATAACGGTAGGCTTAAGGCTCAATGTTCATCAATGAAAATGTTGTTAGCAGTCAAAAGAATAATGAGTGAAGTATTAAAAAGGATTATTTCTGATTCTAATGTCGACTGATCACCAATGTGCACTGTACAGGTATCAGCTGCTGAGCCAAATCATTTCAAAACTTATTATACTATTGACGTTTCTACCGGTCTAAGTGTTTTAACAGTATGTATATCAAGAAGACATTGGTATCACAAATGTGAAGAGATATTCAAAGAATTGATTTTCTTTGATGTCATTCATGCAATAAAACATAATCAACATGTCACAATATTTATGATATCTATAATTCCTCAAGGATAGGCTGATGTTTCGTTACTAGAGTATCGAGAATAATCTGCCCAGAGATGCACTCTCCAGTCCTACAAATCTTGGTCAGTTCAAAATTCGAATCATCGAGATATCTGTAACTTACCTATGCCAGTTGCGGTATCCTAGTACTGGGTGCGCCATCTATTACTTTTTTTTAACCACCATCCTGAAAAAGTGACTGTTTGGTGCGGATTATGGGCTGGTGGCATCGTTAGACCATTCTTCTTTGAAGATGCCGAAGAAAAGGCCATTACCGTCAACGGGGAACGTTATCGCGGCATGTTAACAGACTGTTTGTGGTCACAATTGGATCGTATTGGTGCCGACGATCTTTGGTTTCATCAAGACGGAGGAACGGCTCACACATCTCGCCACACAATCGCCTTATTCCACACGAAATTTCAAGACCGCATAATTTCACGAAATTCAGTTGTCAGTTGGCCCCCGAGATCGTGCGATTTAACACCTCTTGACTATTTTATTTGGGGATTTTTGAAAAGAAAAGTGTATGCGAATGGGCCCTGGACAATTCAAGACCTAAAACGCAATATTCGGACTGAAATTGAGTCCATAGACCCGATTATTCGGGGAAAAGTCATTGAAAATTTTGATGTTCGGGTGTTGGTCTGTAAACGAAGCCGCGGTGGTCACATGACTGATGTTATTTGTCATACATAAATGGCATAAACCAACCTTCATTTATCAATAAAAATTTCGATTGCACCTCGTAAAGTGTGTTGATTTTTCAAATAGAAAAAAAAGTAGTAGATGACGCACCCTATTTAGGTACTGCCTTCGCGGCTGCTTCAGTATAAAAAAGTCTTATCCCATTATAATTGTATATTGATTTGTTTCAATTTTAATGTTTTTGTGATTCCAGTGAAACAACATTTTCATTTTTATATATGGTATGCGTCGTGTTTAAAGTAAAAAATGTTGCAGCCATGCTGAAAACTGATCAATTTTGGACGAAAGTGCAAGAATTGCAAATGTTGGGCTTTTAAAGGTCAATCAAGTTCTAAAACAAAAATAAAAATATTGAAGGTTTGAGATACATACATACTAAAATATTTAAATTCAAAAATTTTATAGATGCGTTCAACTTGAAATTTGAGTTAATTTCAAAACCCAGCTTATAAATATCTAAAGGTGTCGTACCCCATTTCCTCAAGAGGTGAGTTTGTCTCCAGATTGCCGATACGCAGGGGTTCATGGAAATTTCCATCTACGTCCCTCGTACCTTCCAGGAGACAAAATCGTAACAAAAAACACTGTAGCTCGAGTAGACAAGCATTCCTCCAAAATATATATTAAACACGGCAGGCGATGTAGATAAACCGCGTCCTGCGATACTATATCTAAAGTACACTCAGTGACAAAGAAAAAAGAACACCCAGCAAACATGATTTGATTTGAGCGACATTCTATACACAGGTAGCCAAAAGTAAAAGGAAGAGGTGATTAAATTTTGAAGTTAAAATATCTTATCACTGGATTCCCCTAGAAACGTTGGGTCACCACGATGTCATATACATTCATCCAGTGGTCCACTTAACGTGTTTCATCCCAGGATAGCTGTACTTAGCTCCGACGAGCTGCTTGTGTTTGTGGCGGATGGATAAAAAGGTCAGCATTCTTCCCATTATATCCCACACACATTTAATGGGCAAGAAATGTAAGCCTAGAAGGTCAAGGAAGGAGGCTGACTTGAACGTTATTGAGGCAATTCATAAGCGGACATTATCTTGCTGGTTGTCAAGCGTTTGAGGAAATAGCAAAATTGGAGGTTTCAGCATTTCCTGAATATACACAGTGTGCCAGAAAAGCGTACGGATTTCAAAACCATATCGCTCGTGACAGGCACGCGGGAGCGGAGCGCAGTTGTGAACGAAATTTTTAGTGGAAAATTGATATCGCGACGAGCGGAAATTCCGTAACTTCCCCGAAGCCCAGATCTCACGCCCAGCTCAAAAACAACATTCTCAAAATGAAGTTTTCACGAATTCGAAGTCAAGATTCGAGGAGTGTGCACACATCTCAAAGATGTTATTCTTTATTAAAAATATAAATTATCTTCCCTAAGGTTTGTAATTTTTTTTCTGTTTTTTTAAATTCCTCTCAACTTAATGATCCACCCTGTACCATTACGCCTAATGGAATCCATATATAACGGCGCCCCAAACCACAACTCCCCTACAGCATAGTGCGACATGAAAACATACATTGAGAGGTGGGATATGATAGGAAGAATAGTCACTTTTTTCCTCATCCCCCACAAACACTAGGTGCTTTTCGGCGCCTAGCACAGCTAGCCTGAGATACCTCAAGAAAACATACATCATCTCCCCCGACCACTGTACGAATGTATATGACTTCAGGGCGGCCCAGCATATTATTGGAAAAATCCAGTGAAAAGCCGAAATGTTTTCACTTCAAAATTTAATCACATCATTCTCTTACCTATGTTTAACTATGTATAAAATGTCATTTAGTCAAACTATTTTATTGGGTTGTCTATTTTCTTTGTCACTGAGTATACTTGCTACTGAAAACAATTTTTGGTTATGTTTACCCGAGTTGTGCGTTGAGCATTCTGTATAATAGCGTGTTTACGCATGTTTCTGCACTCGATTTCCTATTTTTATTTTTTTACTTCTTTATCTGTCGTCTTTTAAAATTATTGCGTGTATCATTGTTGGAATCGCGAGGACTGACGTTTCCTTATCCAAGAGATTCAAAATACTGTATAAAAACTAAAAAAAAAACAGTGACTCCTAAAAACACAGATAACTGCTTGATACCTCATTTTTATGGTTAGAAGTGAAATAGAAAACGTTATCGAGCGTTACGAAACCTAATAACAAAAACACATCTGATGTGATGGGTCACCCTTTTTAGTCGTTTTACGCCTGGAATTTAAAAACCAAAGCAATAGCTTGAATACAAAGGTAACTTGTTCAAATATAATTGAGAGGGATAAGAATGGTTGTTTGTATCGTGTTTCGTCATACTTAATACTATTATCAGACTGTCAAAGTGATGTTTATAATCACATGTAAACGAGCTAATCAAAGATTGAGATTAATTATACCGTGGAAAAAATTAAAAATAATTTTAGGGAATTTCATTGACGGGTAATTTTTACTTATCATGACGCTGTATAAAAAATTTAATTTTCTATAAAATCTGTACTTTTTCTCATGGTGGCTGAATGATTTAAATAGTGAGTTTATTTTCTACATTGTCAAAAATTTAGTTTTGCACGTTAATCGGCATAAAAGGCATTTGCAATTCTTTTCCCTAACCAGCAAAAAAAGCATTTGCACTGTGCAAATTCCACACCTATTCCCATGTTATGTTTAGTACATGAATGGTGGAAACACACCAAGGAAGAACCTACTTTATGAGTCATGTATGTTGATTATTTAGGACGTCCAGAGGCCAGAACTCTCTAAATAAATGGATACGTAAAAAATGAGTTTTAGTCCGCTTTTGTGTAGTCAATCATTGATATGAAATAAAACTGAATAGAAATGTTGCTGAAAATTGAAGAGTGGAGGGATGCCTCAGCTCTCACGATACACCCAATCACCAAAAATCACCGCAGGAAAAAAAAATGGGTAAAACGGAGTAACCGAAAAAAAGAATGAGCAAAAATGAGGTTATGAATACCCTCTTTGTAGTTACTTAATTTCGTCTTTCACAAAACACAGATACAAACAGTAGCGGTAACAGTGGCGATCACATCTGTGATATGATTAATTATACAACGAATATTACAATTTAAAGGAAAAATATAAAGTATAGGACGAGTTTACCCTATTTGTTCCACTGTGACCCATGATCTACCGCTATAGCGTCAATTTGTGTAACACTCTTTAGACTAATAAGTGTTGACAATGACAACTACCACCTACAAATAGTTCACCAAAGCTTGATACATCTTCGGCCGATACGCTGAATTTTCTCAAAATCTTTTTGATTTTTTCCTGACTTTATTTATATTGGGATTTTAGAATAAATCAGAATTTCTATATGACGGTTTGTCTCTTGTCCTTCAGCATTAACTTTATTATTTCTTAAGTATGCTACATTGGATTTTTGCACAGATGAATACAGTTTTGAATTTTGATTCCAAAAACGCATAATACTTGTTACATTGACGTTGCCAAACCTTAGTGTCTTCAAACAAAACAAAAAAACAGAATTTCTTAAGTATGCCTTGAAATTATCAGATATTTGTTTTGCTGACCAGATTTATCCCAAAATCACTTTATTTTTCCTGACCTTTTTTGAGATGGGATTTCAAAATAAATTGCATAACGTCATTGTTACATATCGATGGTCATTAGACCCCGTAATTGTATGGATCGTTATTTTACAGGAGAGGGTTTTTTATTTTGTAAGGTGCTAAATATGATCAAAAGGTTAGACAATTTTTTTTGTATTCATAACTAAATGATAAAATGTCTTTTATTTCCTAAATTTGTTTTTATTGAATTAAGTAAGATAGGGTTTATTAGAAAAAAAATAACTTAAAAATGTAACGGTACGGGATATTATAATAGGTAACAGTTAACAATAAACAAAACAGTTATTAGTTTGGTAGAGTAAACGTACAATTGACTGGCGCGAAAAGTAACATTATGGCGCGAAAAAGTAAAATTTGATTTTTTTTGCAGATTAGAATTAGACCATCGATATTCTCCCTTACAAGATGGCGTAGTCAAATTTTCAATTCAATATTTCTTCTTTTCACTTCTATCATCAACTTTGTTTTTTCATATGGATGCTATATTTTAATTTTGTACATTTAAATGGACTTTTCAGTCCTAAATTCAGTGATGTATTTCGCTAGTTGATCTTAAATTTGTTAGTGGATGAAAATTATAAGAAAATAAAAAGATATGGTGAAACCTGAACACGAAAAGAAAATTTTATTTATTGTAACAACAATAATAACCATAAATAAGCAGAGGTCTTCACAGTCTTCCAAACTGTGTTGCTATGCAAACACATGAAATCTGATAGCTTCAAGGCCTACCTAGAAACTTCTGGAACAACTAAGGTTTCGCAATTTTGAAATCGTAATAAAAATTCTATTCATGTGTGTAAAAATCCAATATGGCGTCTATAAGAAAAAATACAGTTAATGCTGGAGGACAAGAGACGAAACGTCAAATTGAAATTCTAATTGTGCCATCTTGTAGAGGAGAAAATGTGGCAGAGTTGACGTGCAATTTATTTTGAAATCCCACCACAAATAAAGTCAGGAGAAAATTAAAACCATTTTGGGAAATTTCGTTTTTTACGTCTCTTTCCAAAAGTACTTTTAATTTCAAAACTTGGCATTTTGCTTATTTGAATTCGCAGCTTTGCCCCTATTTAAGCGACTTCGTATCAATAATTAAAGTTTCCAAGATCCCAATGGTGAGGGTCCAATTTGAAATACCCTGTATAGGGAAAAAATTATTTTCACCCCAGCAGGGACAGTCCGCCACTCCCTCTCCGTGGACACCCGTGGAAAAAAGCTGTATCACAAAATCTCCAGAATTCGTTATTTTGTTTTTTTTATCTGCTTTGAGTTGGACTTAGCTAGAATATACAAATAGATGAAGACGTTTATTCAGAATTCTTACTATTTACTTCTTCAACTTGTCATTCGATGTGTGGAATAGTTTCTTCGAATTTATACTAAGAGACATATAAATCCGAACACCCAGTTTAAATGGTTTTATTTTAATAAAAGTTGGTGAATGTATTTATCTTACTGTAAATAACAAGTGAAAAAATTTTCAGCATTATCAGTTGGACATTCCGGTTTTTATACTGCTTTTTTTTTAATTCACTAACGCTCTAAAAATGAATATTTCAGCCGCAGTAAAAAATCAACGTCGGCGGATTTTGGTTCTTGACATCCTTTACGATCGGTTAAGATGCCTAGAGTACGGAGACCTGTACGATTTCGTCAACTTAGTGAGTTTGATAGGGGCCGTATAGTGGGACTTCGGGAAGCTGGACTTTCTTTTCGGGCAATTGCAGTTAGAGTGCAAAGACGTGTAGACACTGTGGTTAGGTGTTGTCAGGCATGGCTTCGAGAAGGCCGTACGCAAAGAGCAAGGGGCACTGGACGCCGCCGTAGAACAACAGACCGTGAAGATCGCCGCCTAAGATTATTGGCCTTAAGGGACCGTTTCTCCACTACCAGGTCCATTGCAAATGAATGGTTTGCAGAACACTTAAGACCTATTGGCATGCGAAGTGTTTACCGACGAATGAGAAGTTTTGGCTTGTTTTCATACCGGCCACACTGGGTCCTCCCTTTAACTCGAGAACACCTACGTAATCGCCTTGAGTGATGCACACAACGGTCACTCTGGGATCAGGAATGGAACAGTATTGTCTTTAGTGACGAGTCTCGATTTTGTTTAGGCATGCACGATGGTCGTGCCAGGGTTAGAAGGCGACGTGGTGAAAGGAGGAATCCACAGTTTTTTGTTGAAAGACATGTTCATCACACTGTTGGAGTTATGGTTTGGGGTGCTATAGCTTATGGTACCAGGTCACCTTTAATCTTCATCAGAGGTAACATGAACGCGCAGCGTTATATCCACGAAGTTCTAGAACCCCATCTTTTACCCTATCTTGACACCCTGGCAGATCCAACTTTCCAACAAGATAATGCCCGACCACATGTTGCAAGAGTCACAATAGACTTCTTTCAACATAATGATGTCACATTGTTACCATGGCCACCAAGATCTCCCGACTTATCCCCAATTGAGCACGTGTGGGATATGATGGGTAGGAGATTGCTCAATTTGCAACGTCCTCCTCAGACTCTAGAAGCACTTCGAGAGGAGTTGGTGGTTGCCTGGAATGAGATACCACAGGAGGACATTGACCACCTGATCAGAAGCATGCCTAGGCGCGTTGGAGAATGCGTAGCACATCAGGGTGCATCCACACATTATTAAAGGTCAAAGGGCTTTAAAGCAGTGCAATCATTTTGAAATTTTTATCATTTACTTATTATGCTTCATTAAGTACTTATACAAAATTTTATTAAAATAAAACCATTTAAACTGGGTGTTCGGATTTATATGTCACTTAGTATATGTTTATACTTTTTAAATGAGAATTGAATGGGAATTACTGGGTAAATCTACTTGACATTTTTGGGTGCAGTTATTTTTTCTAGAAAGTGTCCCATGTTTTCCTCTCTAGAGGAAAATTCGGGCATATTCGGGCAGTTGGATAAATCCTAGATCATCCTGGTTTACAGCAAATGAACATACGCGAACTTTTCCAAAATTGTCTACTTCATTCTGAAAAACGTTACATTCGTATATCTATTGACAATTAACTGGTGACTAATTTGACAGTCATCAAGCAGTCAGAAGTTTCTGTACGAACAGCGGATTAGTTATCGGTAATCGGTCCTAGCTCCCTCAGCCAACTCGTAACGTTCTCATGTATGCAATTTATACAGTCAGCGACGTGTCAGTGACAGCTAACTGAGTAAACTAGGTCATGACTTGTCGTCGACTATCAGTTTGCTGATTGTCAGCAAACAGGCTGTATGGTCAAACTATAAGATTAGACGTTACAAAAATATCTGGTAAGGGTCTAAAAACATATCACCAAAAATAATGACATCAGCAACGAAAACCATCATATTTTAATAAAAATCATGTATGATAAATTAGCATATTGCAAATTTTTTTGTCAGTGATTTTACTTTTCACTGCAAAATCCAAACTCTTACCTCTGACGCTGGCTGCTTGACCATCCCCACATAGGGCTTCGCCCCTGGCATGGGCCCGGGTGCCGACAACGAGGCATGCGTACCATCCCCCGAAGTGCCACCCCCTCGGTTATTCGTCAGCGACGGAAACTCGCTCAGATCCAGCAGTGAAGGGGTGTTCGAGTCACCAGAACCGAACACACTGTTGAAAGAGTAGTTGCCCAATGTGTTCATGTTACCTACTTGGTTGCTGTTTCTGGAACAAGAAGTAACAATGGAGGATGCAAATAGTAACAACAGCGGATTCGTCCAGAATCTAGAGCAGCTAAAGCAACCACTTCCAACATTATTTGATTACAACTGATAATTTACTTCAATTTATTGTGCGCAGAATTTTCCAAAAGTGACTGCGATTAATCCAGTTGGATGACTGATGATCAAGTATTGCTTCGAATTCAACATAGGAGAGACATCATTAAAGAGGCTAAAAAAGACAAAAACGTTTGCTGTCGCTTATTCGTCGTGTATGGTCAGAATATCGCGAGGAAGGAAGCTGGCGCCTGTTGCACCACCTCATCGATCGACGCGTGTGTCCGATTTTTTGACAAAAAATTTCCATCAACCATTCCTCACATTCTCCTGATATGGCACCGTGTGACTATTTTCTGTTCGGTAAACTACATTTGGCCATGAAGGGGCAGCAGTATGCCGACGTAGAAGCCATACAAAAGGCGTCGACAACCATTTTGAAGGGCATCCCAATCAATGTGCTAAAATCATCATTAAAAAATCTTTTTGTCAGTGTAAATCGCTGTATTAACTCTGGAGACTATTTTGAATAAAATAAATTCCATTTTCTGAAACAAAAAGTGTTTGGTCATTTTTTTCTTTGTCCTGTTTACTTTGTGACAGACCTTGTATAAGAGCAACTGAAGCACAACGCACATTTATAAGTAAATCATTATTCTAAAGTGACCAAAAAAAATAAAATAACATTTTGATATTACTGCATTTTTGGTGTTTCATTTCATCATCATATAACATTCTAATTGTGGAACCCTTTACTATGTAAAAAGGCGCCAGTCTTCTTCAATAAATTCTTGAAGCATTAGTTTGGTTGGTGTAAATATATGATATGTGAAGACTAGCTTCATAGGGAAAATCTCTCAGAAAGAATATGCCAAGACCGCACAGTTTTGTAGTAGTTTTCTGTTGAGACACAAACAAATCTAAATAATAAAGTTCATATGAAACAGGAAAGGTGATATATTTAAATGTTTCAGCTTCAAAATTGTCACTGAAACAAAGTGCAGCAAATACCAATAAGAGTTCCTTGTTTGCATTAACAAAATACATAAGATAAAAAGATGTTTCCAAATTGAGATTTCAAGATAAAATTTGTTGCATACAAAAGGTATTTGACCAGTCTTGAATTTTAATTTGCGTATTGTAAATACTGTCAAAACTAACCTCTAAATCACTTTTCCTCTGCATTAACTTTTCAAAATAGCATCATACAAAGATAATCTTTATTTAACTAAACTATATTGAGAAGCTGGATATTAAAAAACAGGAAAATCTTATTTTATTATTAAAGAAATTTTAGGTTTTCAAAATATACTGCAGTTTGCATAAGGTTTATAATGGTTATGACATTGCTATCAGATCAGTTTAAATAGCAAAAACACTATCATGATAGTGGTATGCTCCTTTATTTAGATACGAGATAATGTTATTTTTATACAAATTAATTTGTAGATTCTTACATAGATAAGTCCTGGACAATATTGTCATATGGTTGCTTAAAGTAGCAGCTAGATCTTGACAAAAACTATTAAGTGCTTAATGTTGCTAAAGATTATGATCATCATCTAGTATCATTTTTTCAATAGAATAGAATGTGGACATAAAACAGGAATCAACAAATATCAACAATTGTGACTAAAAAATGACTAATGTCAATACCAGTTCTATTTTTGTTAATATGAAATACAAATAGCAATACAATCTTTAAGATTCTATCTACCTTGGGAAACATAGTTTTCAAATATGTAATAATTAACATACATACATGTTTATAAAAAACCTCCCTGAAAACAACAAATCTATATAAATGTAAATAGTAGAGTTATTTATGAAATTATAACCAAAATATTATTCATGCTAATGTTGTTTACAGCTAGAGTTCTTGAGATTTTTCTTATCAAATTTACATAATTTGTTTTGTAGATTTTATTGTAGATATATTATAGCCTATACAACCAGTCTCCATAGAGATTATCAGCATGAGACATGTTTGGTTCAGCAGTTACACAAATCAATGATGCATATGAAGCTTTGATAGTGTAAACAAGATAAAAATTTAGGCCTGATACCAATCAGACTATTTCTTGCTGCATGTACATAACAATAAAGCATGATTTATCTTGCTTTTATAGTTAGTATCTTCTATAATATATTCAACTTACAGATTATGCCACATAGTTAAGATACTAAGAAAACGTATTTTAGATACAACTGCCATTGTCAAAAATAAGTTATGTTCAAAAAATGATGCTATTCAAAGAGCTGTAGGTGTTTGAGATCATATTATAATGAATCTTTTAGTAAATAAACATCTGTGGTAGATATAAGCTGTATACCTAACTAAATATACAAGAATGAATGTTTCATTGTTTTTCACTTTGGTAACATTTTAAGTGGTCGAGTAAAAATGTTGCAAAACATGGTATAATTATAATGCAAAATTACCCCATAGCTGGTAGAGTCCTTCTTTCCGACGGTGCCCTTTGACCAAAAACGGGGGTAACATGACCAGACATAGAATTGCTCCCAAAGCTCACACTTGTTCTGCCAAGGCTGTTGCCTCCAATGCTCCTTGTGAAGTTTAAATTCGCCATGGCTATCTGGTATGTGGCAAATCAACTTTAAGCATAACGAAAAGGATACGGTCTCAAGTCGTTTCGTCGATTTTCTTCCTCCAACAAGCTTATTTCAGGCTATTACCACAAAAAAATACACTTAACATTATTTCTTATACTGAAGTGTAAATGCAGACGTTGATGGAAAACTAGAAGTATGAGACCACTTGTTGTACAATGCACTATCATCAAATTCTGGATTTTTCGGAATATTTTCAGGCAGAGTATTCTAACTTTAGGCAAATAAATGTTATTGTCCTACTGTTCTTCGCCATTACGTTTTATAACTGTCATTCTGTCAAAAAATGTAGAAATTTGACAGTTGTCAGCGATCATGCTTAACAGCTGTCATTTTGGCGGCATCTATCCAAATGTAGACTTACTAACCAATATGTAATCCAAGATGTCTAGCAAGAGTCGACGCGTGGACAGGACCGGCTTCGAAAATATTCTCAAAAGCCAAATTATGCAGGGGTGTCCCTGGGGTAGTGTGCGAGGGATGTCTTTTAAGTTTTGCATATGGAAATAAAACAAGACGGTAGGTAGTTTTAAATGACTCTATTGTTTTTCGAAGTAGTATTTTCGAAGCACTTATTCCACTCGTTTGCTGGCAGATCCAAGACGGCATTTTTGAATGCGTCAACTGCTTCTTCTGGTGACTGGAACCTTTGACCACGCAGTCTGATTTTAATTTTCAGGAAAGTAAAGAAATCGTTAATCGGGACTATATGGAGGATGGTCTTATAATTCCACGTTTTCATCCGTTAAATACTACCTTGTTTTTTGGGCTGTGTGCGAGCTTGCATTGTCTTGGTGGAGGATGATTCTTCTTTCGGGGTTGATTTTTCGAAGCTCGGTGATGACTTTTGGCAAACAAATGGTGGTATACCAATCCACAGTAACAGTTCTTTGCTCATTAAGAGGAACTGTTGCAATATGACCCGCTTTTGACACAAATGTCGTGACCATCTTTTTCGAAACACTTCGAGAACGGATGACTTTTGTTGGCTTTTCTTCACCTTAGAACACCCAAACAGCCGACTGTCGTTTATTTTCTGGTTCATAACAGTAAATCCACGATTCATCACCACTAACAATGCTGTACACATTTTTTGAGTTTCCGGAATTGAAACGGTCAAGCATTTTTTGACACCAATTAACCCTGGCACTAATTTTCTTACTCCTAATGCTTCGTGTAAAATTTTTTGAATTGAGGTCTTTGAGATCTTCAAGGACGCCTCAATCTCGCGATATGCCACATGTCTATCTTCAATGATGAGTTTGCGCACAGCATCGACGTTTTCCTGGGTGACTGACGTTTCTGGTGCACCCACCCTGGAATCATCGCTAAGAATCACCCGTCCACGTTTGAATTCTCCATACCAACGGGAAATTGTAGACTGATGTAGCGCTTCGTTGCCAAAAACAGACAGTAACTCAGCAAGGCATTCTTGTTGCGATAATTGTCTCTGAAAGTTGTAATAAATTATGGCGCGAAAATGTTCTCGGTCGAGTTCCATTTTTCTAATGACTTGGTGACACTTAAAAATTCATTGTAGTGAGAACACTGCACATATTGTTGTGAAACTTTAAATTTATGTTTACTAAAGAGTGAGGTTAAAATTCAGTAATGACGATCGATCCGCGCGGCCTACTATGTTTCTGTATGCAAAACTTAAAAGACACACCTCGTATGACTTGTAATTCGACAGTGTACAACAATATGTTTCAGTATGTAAGTAAGTAAGTATACAAGGCGGTAGTAGAAACACAAATTCCCGATGATTGGAAAATAGGAATAATCATCCCCATCCACAAAAAAGAAGACCCTGAACTGCAACCACTATAGAGGAATCACGCTGCTAAGTATACCTTTGAAAGTTTATGAGAGGGTATTGGAGAAAAGGCTGACAGAACACGTCGAGAACGATATAGACGAGGAGCAGAGTGGGTTCAGAAAAGGACATGGCATACAGGATCATATATTTGAAATAAAACAGCTGATCGAGAAATGTAATACATAGAACACGGAACTAAGCCTAGCTTTCTTAGACCTGGAAAAAGCGTTCGACAATATTAAGATAAATTGTGTGGGACAGCGTGGCAAAACGAGGAGTACCTAACCACCTAACAGAGTGTATACAAAGCATATACCACCAAAATACATGCTATGTTAGAAAGGATAACATGACGTCAGAGGAATTTATCATAGGAGATGGGCTGAGACAGGGAGGAGTCCTGAGCCCGATATTATTCATTATGATTATGGATGATGTAATAAAGGCCGTCAAAAGCAAAATTAAGAAAGTACAACAGAGGCCAATAAATATTTCAGAGTGGCCATTCGCGGACGACCTGTTATTTTTGCGCTAATACCCCAAATGACTTACAAGATAACCTTAAAATCTGGATCCAGGAATTATCGAAGAGAGGTTTGAATATTAACTTATCTAAAATAAAAGTGATGACGACAGCAGATGGGAATGGAATGAATATAGTTACTAAGGGCGCACGTATAGAACAAGTCGAAGCGAAATATCGAGGATTGTTAGTACAAGGCGATGGAACAATGGAAGAGAAAATCAACGAAATATTAATGAACGCATCTAGGCTCTATCACACATTGAAAACATCTTTCTCAAGGAAGAAAATGATAAGCAGAAAAACAAGGACGACCGTGTACAGAACAGTATTCAGACCCATATTGATATTTGGAAGCGAGAGCTGGGTATTAACGAACAGGCAAAACAACAAGTTATTGATATATGAAATACCTCAGGGCAGTCAAAGGAGTCACTAGGAAAGACAAAATTAGAAACAAAGTTATTAGAGAAGAGGATTGAAGAAAACCAATTAAAATGGTTTGGGCATTTTTAGTAAGGATAAAGGATACAAGGCCAGTAAAACTCATATGGGAAGCAAGAGTTCAACAGAAAAGGGCATGAGGGCAACCGAAAAAGACGTGGAATGATGGATTGGCGAAAATACTCAAGAACAGGGGAATAAGTTGGAACGAAGCAGTGCTCCGGGCTTGAAATAAGAAAGACTGGGCTAAATTTGTATATAATAACTAATTAGTTTAGAGAATGAAATAATGTGTTTGCACCTTACAGCTACGGGTATATAAGGTTTTAGATTATTATAATATGTAAGTCCCACATAAAAATAATTATTTCACCAACCACAGATTTTCTTTCGTTATCTCTCTCATTTTTGAAATTCAGAAAATTTGCTTACGTAATTTCCAGAACGAATAAGAAAAAGTTGATGATCAACTAATTTACAGCTTTGAATACATCTCAAGTAAGTGCACTTGAGGCTAGAAACCAATGGAATTATGATCAACACAGATTATTAGCACACAAATCCTCACTATGCTATAGTATGCAACTTGCAGCTTAGAGCTGCAAGAATGCCATCTCTGAAGTTACATCACATCGGAGACAAACATTGATAGCTGAAGCATCATGACGTTTAGGCAACTCGAACAGCTACAAAGCGAGTTCACAACAAGTATACAGAAGCTAGTGCTAAGTTGACATCTTGTAGAAAAACCTACATAATGTCACAAAATACTTATTATAATATAAACAAAACCCGACATAATGTCACTTTTAAAGATACGTAATACCTCTGCGGGCCTTAGGATTCATCCCCAGAATTTTGTACAATACCCATCTGATTGGTCTAAAGGGAAAATCGTTATTGTCAATAATGTGTTTTCACCTCGATATTCGCATTTAAAATGAAATAAAAAAACTTTACATACATCAATATATATATATCAGTACAATAAACTTAAAAAGGTTCAAAGATATGTACAATGTATGTCAAAATCGAAATAATAGCATATTCATAATTACAGTGTTCTTGTACAATATACAACTGGAAGTTATATTTACAAAGACCTGTCTACAGTTTATACACGATTTAATAAAATATCACATATGAGATTCCAGTTTCAAGGTTGGGTGGAATTAACTGGCTGGGTGTACGCAAAGTTGGGATTTTCCTTTTCATACACAACTACCCTTGATATAACAAAGCTAATGTGTGCTGAATGGTGAGCGAACACGTAAAAAAATAAATGAAAAGGTACTCATTGTTCAGTTGAATTGAAATTCCAAGTACGGCTCTGTCGTGAAATCCGTATTTACATCGTAGCCGTACGTCGTATAACTGTACGCTGCCGCTGGCGCTGTGGACGTGATCGAGGGATAGGGCAGGACCCGATTCGGTTTGATTCAGGTTTGAGTGAGTTTGCGGAGCCCAATATCTCGGTTCTCTTGAGACATTTCCGTATATGCTACTAAGAATATCCGCATATTTTCTGAAGATCCACACGTCGTGTGAAGGAAAAACCCCAACTTTGCGGGCGCCCTGTATAAGAACTGTTATTTCATTATATTGTAACGAATAGTACTGTTGGCGCTATCTGTTGGACGAGTCTGCTTCTCGTCAGAGCTTCATGGCCGATCTCTGCTTTTACGCGAACCACGACCGCACAAGCCTCTTGGCGGCGTCTGTGAGGACCGTGACAGTGGATCGCGTTCTAGATCGACGCGAAGTGACCTCCAATATTCTAGATGTCGCTTTGTTGTTCACCAGATCTTTCTCGAAGCAGCAATGGGGACTATATATAACGCGGCGGCCGGGAGATGGAGAATGGAGTGAGTGTCCAGTCAGTGGCGCGACATAAGAATTAGTTAGACCTAAATAGTGGTGTACGTAAATGTTGGTCGAGTAAAATAAATTAGTGTATTTCATTTTCAAGAATCCAGTGTTTTAATCCACACCCAAAAGGACACAGAAAAACGCTACATTATATTTACATATGACATATTTGGTAGGAACTTCAAATGTGTCTTCCGTAAATTGTGGCGACCAGTCGGGAGAACAGCTCGTGTGGCACTCCCTTGACCTCCTCAATTAGACTACAAACTTTATTGAAACTCTCTTCCTCAACGGTTGCAAAGACAGTCGGTAAATCCAGGTCCGTGTAAAGCTGCTGCACCTATGAATGCATTATAAGATTAGTTCCAGTGTAGTGCTATAGTTGACGTTAACATCACTATGAGAGATAAGGTGGTTTGAATTCGTTGTTTGAACATATTTACCATTTTTTCTGCGTATAATCAACTTTTATACTGTTGGCAAAGGAACAGGATTTTCTCAAAGACTGCTTGAGAGCACATATATGTGCGTTTCGCGATTATGCTAGATATCTCAGTAAGTAATATTGTTTACCGTAAGGACGCCTCGAAATCCAATGCCATCCATAAAAATTGTTTAGGTTTTCGTGAATTGACTATTTATATACTTTATAACAGTTACGCATTTACCATTTGAATAGAGTTTTGGTTCGCCTTCCCGTAATGTTCCTTCAGGAGTTTTTTTCCAGCTGGCGTTGCTCTTTCTAAAGCTTCTGCTACTAACCAACTGCATTTGCCTTCCTGGATATCTGTGCTCTCTTTACCAATCAATTCTCGATCACCGAAACAGTCCATGACGTCATTCTTAAATCAAAAGCTTGGCGTCAAGTATTTATATATAGTCGAAATCACGAAAGATGACTATAACGTCATAACATAAATTGTACTGAAGTAATTAATGGACGTACGTCGATGATAAAATCACGATGTCAGGAACATAATGACAACAAATTTATATTATGAATTTGCGAAGTTAGGTTATTTCACTGATTATTTTTATTTTCATTTTATTTCATGGTTTCGAGTGATACATTAATAATAATTTTAGTGGGGAGTTTTTGTTTTGAAAAAAAAAACAGTTATGAGGAGAATACCTTAAGACAGGAACACCAAAGACTAAAGT